TACTTTTGAACTGTGGTGTTGGAGAGAACTCTTGAGAGTCCCCTGGACTGCAAGGAGATCAAATCAATCAATCCTAAAGGAAATAAACACTGAATATTCATTGGAAGGACTGATGCTGAAGCTACAACTCTAATACTTTGGCCACCTGATGCAGAGTCAACTCACTGGAAAAGACTCTGATGCTGGGAAGGATCAAAGGCAAAAGAAGGGGAAAGCTCCCACTCTAGGTTCCTACATGGTGGAAGCACATTTAATGCCCCAGGGAGTCCACACCCTTCCTACATGTCTTCAGAAAGCATGCGCCTCCGTGCTATGAAGTCCTTACAGTTGGTTTAACACATCTAAATATAAAAGTCATGGAATCCAGATTCTGAATATGGAAAATGAATTCTCCTTTCCTGTTTGGCCAGAGGGAAAGCATTTTTCAAAGATTCCTAGAGTCAGCTCTGTCCATCACACTATTTCAAGTTACTGCAAAAATGCCTCAGAGGTCAGACAGAAACAGAAGTCTTTCTCCAGGTCACAAATTGGAAAGATCTTCAACCATCCACTTTCTGCATCATTTCGTATAAGTGCATTTCTGTTTGGTTAGAAAGGAATTGCTTTTCCCTGGTTGATGCCTGACTGAATTGGTCCTGAGTTCCCCAAGTAACCAGAGGCCAACTGCTGTCATATTGAAGTAGCTTTGCTGGCCACTTACCCACAAGAGACTGTGACCCCTAACTCTTTATTGTATTCAGTAGCCCGGAACCATGACCTCTGACTCATCTCAACGTTAGACCTTGGGAACAGAGAAATTCTCTTTATAGGAAAAAAGAAAACTGAAATAGCTATCAAATAAATGCAGACTTCAATTTATACATTTTTATTTATGGTGCCTCTTCGGGTTTTAAGTATTTCTAAAATCTACTTATAGAAAATAATATATAATACTGCATCCAGCTCCTGATTATTTTAGATCTCTTTGCTCATTCACTTCTGGGTCTCTTTTTTTCTACTTTTTTTCCTTTACATATTTTAGGCATTTCAGTGCCCACTAACAGCTCAGGGAAAGTCAATGAATAGCAGTAAGAAAAATAAAAACTTACACTGGTCTTGAAGTTATTAAATAAGTTACATTTGAAAAATAATGGTCCCATAACTGAAAGATAACATAAAAAAAGAAATTTAAGGTTAATCTGTAGATTTTAATGAAAGTGAAGTTGAAAAAGTGAAAGCTGCTCAATCATATCCATCTCTTCATGATCCCATGGACAGTATTCCATCAGGCTCCTCTGTCCATGGAATCTCCAGGTCAGAATACTGGAGTGGGTAGCCATTCCCTTCTCCAGGGGATCTTCCCAACCCAGGGGTCAAACCCAGGTCTCCCACATTGCAGGTGGATTCTTTACCATCTGAGCCACCAGGGAAGTCCAAGAATATTGAGAAGAGTAGCCGATCCTTTCTCCAAGGAATCTTCCCGACCCAGGAATCGAACCAAAGTCTCCTGCATTGCAGGAAGATTCTTTACCAGCTGAGCTACTATGGAAGCCATGTAAATTTTAATAATTTCTGCCAAATCTGATATCCTTTACTACAGAGGACTTTTCAGGTATTGCAGTGGTAAAAAAATCTGCAATCCAGGAGACTCAAGAAACATGGGTTCAATCCCTGCATCGGGAAGATCCCTTGGAGAAGGAAATGGTAACCTGTTCCAGTATTCTTGCCTGGAGAATCCCATGGACAGAGGAGCCTGGCAGGCTATAGTCCTTGGGGTTGCAAAGAGCCAGACACGACTGAGCACACAAGTGCTTCACTGCACTGGATGCTCGGAGAGCCGATATACCTGCTGTGCATTGGGTACCTATTTACTACAGATGATATTATTTTTATAATTTAATGACTCTTACAAAAGGTTATTAAATATTCCATGTTGTTTTTATTTGCTATAATTTTGATGTCACATGTTTTACATAAACATGTTACATGTTACATAAATTTACATGTTACAGTTTAAAAGGGCACAATTTTAAATTCCACATCCATGAGAAGTGGAAAGTAACAGACAAATGTCGGCACCAGAAATTTAGAAAGAGCAAAAGGAAGAAAAACTATAAGGGACTAGGGTGGTGTTGCCATAGCAAATTTATTTTGACCAGTAAGATATGAATCATAATAAGAGATAGAAATGAAATATTCCATTATCCAGTCAATAGTATTTAAGCTTCTTCATATAATCCCCAAAATTAGGTTGGATATGACTTTCTGAGATTCCATATATAATGAGTATGAGCTGTATGTTTTGTTTTGTTTTGTTTCTTTCTGTATCTGGTTTGTCTCAGTGGCATAATGTCCTCCAGGTCCATCCATGTTGTGGCAAGTGGCAGGATATCTTTCCTTTTTAAGGATGAGTAATACTCCACTGCATAATTTATACTACAATTTCCTTTAGCTATATGTGTATGTATATCAAATCATCATGGTGTACTTTTTAAATATGTACAATTTTCATTTTAAAAATACAATAAAAACATAAGGTGGGTTAGAAACGATATTGTATCTCAATATATGAGAATAATGGTGAAAGTGACATTTATTGGCCAGCACTGTTCTAAATGCTTGACTTCTATGATTTCATTTACTTCTCTCAGTGCCCCTATGAGGGAGGCATGTTGTGATCCCTGTCTTGTGAATGAGGGACCTAAGACCTGCCCAGACCTAACAGCCATGAACGGCGAGCCTGGGGGCACCTCCAGACCATCTGACTTCCTTCCTAGCCTCCTGTGGGACCCATTCGCAGCTGGGCCCCAGATGTCATATCAGTTTCCCCTAAAGCATGTTTCATTTCCCCTTCTCCCCATTATTGCTCTTCCCATCTTCACTTGGCCAAATCCCCTCCCTTAGAAACCATTCAGCTTTGCCACCGATCCACCCACCCTTCTCCCAGCCTGAACTGCCTAACTTCTGAACTGTATCATCTTCAGGAGTGGAAGATTTGGCAAATTGGGAAAACGACCTTTAGATGACCCATCTCTGTGTTGATCAGTCTTCTGGAAGGGGCTGAGGATCACAGCCATCTGGCCTGTGTCTGTTTACCCAGGCGGGAAGACAACCACGAGGCCATCTGAGGTCTGCTTCCAGATACAAGAGGTGGTGTCAGGAGGCAGATCGCGGTCCACACAGATGAGCACATGAAACAGCAGAACCAAGTCCACAGAGCACCAGGCAGCCTGAACCCAAAGAATGAAGTTAGGAAGCGCTAAGTCCAGGTTCCTGGCAACTAGTTTGCTACCAAAGAGGCTTTGGTGACAGACCCCGCTATGCTGGGAACACCTTTCAGAGGTGCCTCGAAGGTCAGGGCAATCTGGAGCGAGATAAGGAGGAGCTGCAGTTGGATCCACCCTGTAGAGCATAAAAAAATCTGCTTCCATGCTACACATGTAACCAGCGTGTCTCAACGTGTATGAGCTTGTTTCTGCTCAAGGGGAAGTATTAGTTCTTGTGGGTGATCCTCAGGGCACTGCTGGGAGATGCACCCTCGCCGAATGTTTGAGAAAAAGACTGGCAGCCCTGTGCAGGAGATGTGTGGAGGTCCCTGAGTGGAGGCTGGGTGGGCAAAAGATGGGAAATGCTTTCCAGTCGTGGGGTCCCTGTGGCCCATTCTTTTGTTCTAGACCCTGCTGCAAGCTCTCTTCTCTTTGCTTCTCCTCCGCTGCCTGTCTCTGGCCCCCAAGCCAGGGTACCTGTCAGGGCGCATTTGACTGCATGGCACAAGAGTGCAAGTGAAAGCTGCTCAGTCGTGTCCAACTCTTTGCGACCCCACGGACTATACAGTCCACGGAGCTCTCTAGGTCAGAATACTGGAGTGGGCAGCCTTTCCCTTCTCCAGAGGATCTTCCCAACCCAGGGATCAAACCCAGGTCTCCTGCATTGCAGGCGATCCACTGAGCTCTCAGGGAAGCCTATAGAAAATGTATAAAACATAGACTTAAATGAGGGGCAAGTGTAATCATTCTTTACACTTCAGGGTCAAATCTTTATTGACCTCATGCTACACGGCTCACCACTGCTTTTCTTAACCTTAATTGAACCACTCTTTCAGGTTCTTAGGCAATTGATTAGCTACAGAAAGGATTTCACCTTAGGAAAAGCAAAATCTCACATAACAAACTTTTGGACTTCTCTTTGCATAGAAATACTGAATATTACTGCTTTAAAAATAAACATGGATACTGCCGCTCTGTGGGTATACGTTCTTGTACTTTTGAACACAGCCAGCCATTTGTAATAGCACAACTGCTTTCCTGTTGGGGTTAAGATTCAACACTCCAAAACTGCAGAGACTGGGTAACTTGCCTGAAGCCTGGCTCTCCTACCCAGAGCCCCCGAGTCAATCATTCCGTGTTATCATGAAGGTCTCGTGTGCATGAATGTGAATGCATGCAGTGAACAATCCCATGAATTCAGATCCCTTCAGACTGGTCAGCTAGAAAAGTTGGAAACGTCACAATTTATAGGCTTGACAAGTGTAGGACAGCGCTTCTTCATCAGGAGTGTGCGTCACAATCACTGTATCTCTGGCATGAGATCTCTCATAAGGCTCAGACTGAGGCTCAGTGTTCGTTAAGCTTCACTGAGAATGCTCTAGGAGTGCACTTTTCCATAACTCCAAAGATGATTCTGATTCAGGTACTATTATAGGACTAAAGTCCATTTTACTCCTGTTATATGAGGTTCTGGTTTTAAGACTTAAATTTATCATGTCTGAAGGCTAGAATTCAGGTTTAATGCCCTGCTCACCGAGTCTTCTAATATTTTATATGAATGAAAACCCTTAGGGTTTGAAAGTCACCACTGTCTCCACACAAAAATTCCTACTCCAGTTTCTTGTACATAAACCCACACTTGTGTTGAGCAATGGCACATCTTCCAGCCTGGGTGTTTTCGGCAGGATCTCTTTCCAACACTAAATGGCTTTATAAACATGTGACCTTCTTCCCACCAATAAGAGGAAGTGAACATTTTAATATTTGAAATTTTTAAGATCAATTTATTAAGTTCAATGATGAAAGCCATCAGAAGAATATTCTCCTGAAAATTATTTTTTTCTTAGAAAAAAGAAAGGAAAATCAACACCCTCTCAGCATAGCCACAGATGCTGTGGCAGTCAAGCCTCTCTGCAGACGGGAATAGTCCATCAGTCGGTCAAGTCACTCTCCCGGTCAGCAGGATTGTAGTCTGGATCATCTTCATCGTCCTCCAGCTCCAAGTCATCCATTTCCTGGAACAAAGACTCGTCTACCTCCACATTGTTTCCAGCTGTAAAAGACAGAAGATTTCCCCTTCATTCCTATACTCAGAAATAAAAGATACAACCCACTGGCAGGACCAAAGAGACTTCTTACACATGCATCTGTAGTGCATGTGATGAAATCCTGAACTAGTACTGCAAATCAGAGCAGCGATGATCTGCACTGGTCAACAGAGAACATCTTCAGGCTTCCAGTTCATAGTCTAAAAAGATCCAACTACCAAATAGGCCTTCTTAGAATGAATTATTTATGATCCGGCATGTTGTAAGCTGGAGACGACCATGATACAAAGTTGATTATCACTGACCAGGAGACTTGTACCAAGAGTTCATCTCTTTCCATACTGGAGATATGTTTGTACATCATTAAAGCTCAACTATACACATAATCAGCTGACAAATTTATTTTGCTCTTCGCTCTCATCCAGCTCCCCTGTAACCAGTGGCATGCCTTTCCAAGATTCCAAATGTCTAAGCCCTACCGGAAGCAATACCCAGGTTTTGCATGAAATAACTTCATTCTTCAGTCTGTCTGTAGTACACAGAAGTAGGATATTACAGTACTCTTAAATCACCAAATGTTGTTCACCTTCCTTCCCTCTCAGACTCTAGTCCACTGACATTCAACTCAGTGAGAAGAAAGCCTGCTTCATGAAGCCTAAGAGCAGTTCAGTAATAAAATACAATTTGGTATGCTCAGGCCAAAGGGTCATTGACTAGGCCTGGGAGAGGAAGCAGTGGAGCCTTCACAGAGCAGATGACATCTGAAATATCTTCATGATAAATTTGAAACTACCCAGAAGAAAAGGAGCCAGGATGAAGCAATTCTAGGTAGAACATTATGCAAAAGCAGAGAAAAAAATTAAGACCTTGAATCCTTTTAATTGGAACACAAGATTCATGAAGAAAAACATCCAAAAATAACACAGATGAAGGCCAAATTGAAGGACCAAAGTAGGTCAACCCCTTCCTCTAAGCAGCAGAGAAGCACCAGAGGATTTTAAGGGAAGAAAGGGCATGATTAAACATGGGTTTTACAAATTCTGTCTCAGAGGTGGTAGCTACAAAGTAGGGAAGGGCAGTAGGAGGAAGAGACTGAGGAAGGGAAACAATGAAGCTACTACTAAAGTCCAGCTGAAAAATAACAAATTTTCAAATCACGAGGAAAGAGTCGAAAAGACATTTCAGAGGCAGAATCAACAGAGCACTTTTGATAAGTTTTTGGCTATAAAGAGACACTTGATCCACCAAACAGGAAAGAGAGTCAAAAATGAGTAAAGAGAGTAAAACTTTTAAAAAGACATTTGATACTTAACCTTCTTCCCTTCTCCAAAAGGTAGCCCAGGAATACAGTCAAAAGGCCAGAGGATCCCAGCAGGCACGATGGGCATGACAGAAGGATGATGGATACAGACCTCAGGGAGCTACTAGAGGGTGACTGAGTAAGGAGCTCTACATTTCAGAGACACTCAGTGGCCTCAAGCTCCGTGAGGGCAAGGGACTTATCTGAAGTGTTCTCTGGCTCAGTGCCCAGGACAGTGCCAAGCTGAGAGCAGGGGTGCAGTAAATATTTGTGGATGGATGGAAATGAGTAGATGAAGACAGCAAGAGGATAAGGGTTAGGATAAAAAAAGAGAAGGAAAGCACAAGGGACTAGATGTTCCAAAGACAGTAAGACTGGTGTGAAATATGACTTTTGGTTAGTTCCAGGTTTGCAGTCTTTATAAAGCTCCGTGACAGACCATGGGTTACAGCTCCTGTAGATTTGTGATACTGTAACTTTGAGGAAAACAGGTGATCTGAGTCACAGTGACCGGGTTTACCAAGTGTTACAGGTAAAAGTGACTATGTTGTTTACCTATTGCTATCTTTGATTTTTCTTATCACAAAACTTTTCAAAAATACACTGCCACAGTTTAATGTATAACCTGATCAAACATCAAGAATTTATTCTTCAAAGTGTGTTTCTTTAGAGCCTTGGGAGGACAAATTTACATTAAGTTATCACTATGATTTTCATGGTTTAATATTGAACATAGCACATTATGTACATATGGAATTCTAGTATTATCTTACCATCTTCCAAGAACTGGATATCAGATGTGTCAAGATTATGATCTGTTTCAAATAGCTGTCTCCCTAAGAGAAATAAACATATTTAATTAGAATGGCATAGTTTTTCTCCATCTTCCCTACAACCCTTTAAAAGGTATAATAATTTTACAAAGTTAAAGATATAAAAAAATCTGAAAAACCATTTTTCTGTGAATTTCAATAAATTGTATGAACTCAGTAAGTAACTAAGAGGCATATGAAATGTACTGGCATTAAAATGGAACAAATAAAAGCTTAGTCCCAGAAAAACAAATGGGTTTGATTCCACCACTCTTAAGTCTTGTGATCCTAAGTCTTGGCAGCTATATCTGAAGATCTATCCATTTCAATAGATGAAAGATAAGCCATAAAAATTAATGATAATTACGTGTGAAGAAACATCATCATATGGAGATAACACCCTCTTTTTGCCCTATATGCCTAAGTATATTATTTTCTTACAGATATCTATCCAAACGATCCTCTTACTATATAAGAAGTAATACAGGAGGGCTTAAAGGGAACAGGATATTGGGTGGGAGGTGGTGTCATACCACTTAATTTATTTTTTCCTGCTTGCTCTTCTTCCTTCATCCGTTTCTTTTTAATTTCCAAGAGTTCTGCATCAAACTTGGCCTTCCAATTTAAGAAATTCTCAATTGTAACAGGAGTACCATGGAATAATTGCTTAGGAAAGAAAAAACACATCACCAGATAAATGAAACAACAGAAAATAAAGCCTAATGAACTTCTAGACTAATGAACATAGCCACTGAGAGAAATCAAAGAGAATAATGGTTTCAAGTCCATAATATTTAGTCTGATTTCTATCTGCACTGGCTACTCTCATTGGTTTTGGCAGTTTACTCTAGAAAAGTCTGTTTTTATATTATTACAAAAAACCAAGGATAATATGTGAGGTGTTCCCATTGTTATTCACAATTAAGAAGAAAGTTGCTATTGTCAACATTAATATGTTTAAATATACATCAATTTATAACACTAACATCCCTGCTTACCTTTTTTACTTCATTTTAGAATCTAAGGTTTTCTTAAATTCAGTAAATATTTAAATTATTCTGGCAGGAGCTTTATAATTCTAACCTTTACACTGTAAGTGAAATAATTTATATTTCTTGATTTTACCTCCATGCACTTTATTAACCTTTAACCAACTGATTGATCATTATTGTGTGATGCCCACCAAGTAAATGAGGGACCTTGTAAAATTTTACTTAGCAAAGCTTTATTAAATGTCACTTGTGCTTATTTTTGCAATTTCCTCTCAAATTACTGAAATTCCCAAAACAAAAACACCCCAAATGGCAGAGTTAAAGAATAATGAGAGAAAAGGCAACTTTAAAGGTACCTTCTCGGCTTCTTCCGCTTCTCTTTCTTTTTGTTTCTTTTCTTCTTCTCTTCTAGTTTTTATTTGATCTACTATTTCATTTAATTTCTCTTGCACAGCTGTCACTAAGGTGAAGATCATCACCATACCAAGGTTTTCTTCTGCCTATGTAACCAAAAAAGAAAAAAAAAAGGTTGTAGTTAGAAACATAATTCTCAGAAAAATAAAAACAACTAACCAGTGGTGGGGGGTGTTTTAGCATAATCACTGCACTCATGCATTTATAATATGATCACTAATTCAGTTACATCATCAGTTCAGACTCTTGGATCATTTACGACAGAGGATGAGATGGTTGGATGGCATGACCACCTCAATGGACATGAGTCTGAGCAAGCTCTGGGAGTTGCTGATGAACAGGGAAGCCTGGCGTGCTGCAGTCCATAGGGTCTCGAAGAGTCAGACACAACTGAGCAATTGAACTGAACTGATGTGTGTGTGTGTTTGTGTGTACACATATAAAGTGAAGTGAAGTGAAAGGCACTCAGTTGTGTCTGACTCTTTGTGACCCCATGGACTATACAGTCTGTGGAATTCTCCAGGCAAGAATACTAGAGTGGGAAGCCTTTTCTTTCCCCAGGGAATTTTCCCAACCCAGGTCTCCCACATTGCAAGCAGATTCTTTACCAGCTGATCCACCAGGGAAGCCCATATACAACATCTTAAATTTTAAAAGTCTTATAATTTGTTATATTCAACTGAAAATAGGTATTTCAATAAATTCTATGTAGTAATCATATATGTAGGTAGAATTCAGAAAACCTTTTTCTACAGTAGCTAACACAGTTCTCCAGCATATAGTCATCATTTTAGCTTTAAATCATTACAAGAAGAAAGAAAAAAGATACATAAAGATAAATCAGAAAAGTGTCTACATTGTTATTATGTTAGAAAATCATTTTGCCTTCAAAATTCAGGTTAGTGTCACAGCTCTCAAAATATCCCCAAAGAACTAAAATGATGATAACATGCTAGATACTGCTAAATGCTGTAGGAAAAAGTTTTCTGAATTGACACCAAGTGTCAATAAGCAGTTATACCTGACTAATGAGATTAAGAATAATCTTTATTTTCTTCTTCATTGTTTTCTGTATTTTCTGAGTTTGTTTGTAATATAAATTATTTTGATAACTAAAAACTAATACAACTAAGAAAAAAGATACAAATATGCCCTTAGTACCTCTGATCTCAGGTAAGTATCAGAAATCAAAACTTCATTTTTGAAAGAAAGGATTTCGAATATAAATAAAATATAAAATGCATATTAACAAAAATCACTCAAATCAAGAAACTTATATTAATACATGAGTGACTAAATACAGTGTATTGTTCCAGGCTTTCTACAATGTTTCCAAATGAAGTACTTTAAACTAAATGATATAGAAATAATATGACTTCACACTGGGTAATGAAGTGAACAGAACCTAGAATCAGCATAAATTAATGTTTGATATATCTTCTTTCACTCCTCATTCTCTAACAGCTCCAAATATTTTTAAAATGTCAACAGTGAGAGCACCCACAGTTCTGGAAATATACTAGTCATATTTACAGTGGAGACATTTTCTGTCAGTTCTTCTTAGAAAAACAAACAAAACTAGGACTTCTGCTTTTAAGATGGTGGAGTAAGATTTTATTTGCCCTCCCTACTCTCTCCTGTGAAGAATCTATGAAAACTCTACCCAAGTAAAACAGAGCTTTAAATATCCACCACACCTAGACTGTGACTAGCCCGAACCATTTGAGAACTAGCCAGGTAAGAACTTTCCAATACCCATTTTTTCTTCCAGGTAAACACCTGCTCTTGGAAGGGTCATAAACCATTATTGCTGTTCATAAGTTTAGGGAGCAGGAGAGATAGGAAAAAAAAAAAATCAATCACCACTCCTCTCACCAAATTTCAGGTAACTAGACTGCAACAGATCACAGGGCTTAGGAGTTTTACTTTTTTTAAGTTAGGATTTTTTAAGTGTGCATGGGACTAAACATTCTGAAAACCAAATTATGATTGTGTTATAACTTACTGTACCTAACTGAACTTTTTATCACCTAAAAGTCACAGGGCTTTTTATCACCTAAAAGTCACTGGGCTGAGTTTCAAACAAGGGTATAGGGAGAACTTCTCTTATTCAAATTTTAAAGGTACTGCTGCTGCTGCTGCTAAGTCGCTTCAGTCATGTCCAGCTCTGTGCGACCCCATAGACGACAGCCTACCAGGTTCCTCCGTCCCTGGGATTCTCCAGACAAGAACACTGGAGCAGGTTGCCATTTCCTTCTCCCTTTAAAGGTACAGGAGGGAACAATAATAAAGATGCTTTCTGAATATGTGTGTGTGTGTGTAGACATACATCATGAATTCTGCTTGTTCAGTACACTCATTATATATATTTAATTTTCTGACTCAAGATTAATATATAATATTTAAGGCAAATAAAATAATGCCATTACAAAACGTGTTATTTCCTTACCTGTAATGCTAATAATTTTAAAATGTCTGCTACATCATTATCTTCTAGATTTAACTGGGCGAATATTTCATAAAGGGGAGCTTCATCTGGGTATTTTTCACTGTATGTAAACTTGAGGGTTGTCTGGACAGCTAAAGACATAAGAGAAGATATTAATACAAATACCTTAATATGTAGAGAGAGGTCAGAATCTTTGTTGAATTAGTAATTAATTTACATTGTGTCAATGAAAAGTAGCACAAAAGATTCTCCTACAAAAGGAAAACAGGGTTACTATGAGACCAGATAATTATTAACATATACAACTTGTACCACAAGTATAGGTAAAAACAAATCACAGGAATACCAAAGATCACATCTAACACAGGAAATACATTTGCTACTTATGGGTATTTTATCTTACTGCATGTCAGAGAAAGAGGATGAAGAAGACACTGCTTTTGAAACCCTCCTTAAGATGAGCAAAAGGCAGTGAATACGACACACGGAAAGAGTGCCAACGCAGGCTCATTTCCAGGCCTCTCCCAGAGCCGGCGCCCGGCGCAGAAGCTCTGACTTTGGCTGCACAGTCCACACTGCTATCGGCACAATGCCAGCAGATCATTGCCACGGCGTTGCTAGAGGACACAGCTGTAGACTGGACAGTTTGAGAGGCTGTCTGCGAAACTTTTAACCTGACTCACTGACACATTCCCCCCAAGTCTTTGGCCTGTGCCAGCTCACAGATATGACATTGGTATAGGCGTGACATTCTTAAAGGCACCTAAGTGTGAAGTATCTCTCTGCAACCTAGTCTGATGAATTCTCAATTTTGCCAGGCAATCTAAAACTGAGCAGTAGTGCTAAATATTTTTTGTTAAAACCTATTTGTCAACATGACCCTTTGTCTCCATTTTGCCTTTCCTGTAACTCATATTTTAATTATTAAAACCTTCTGCTTTTGATGATTTAAACTAAGATCTAGATTTCTCTCCATGGGAATGGGAAAAAAAAAAAAAACGGTCAAAATCTGCTCGCTTGGTATTTTTGTGTATGATATCAACAAAGAATTTTATGAATCAACAGATATAAGATAGAACGTTAGGTAAGAAATATAGAGTGTCTTTTGGCACTTTTCTTTCTTTTTTTAATTAACACATTTCTAAATTTTATTGCTAGCACAAGTTTTCTTTTTTTTTTTTAATTTATTGATTCCACTATACGATGTAACAGAAATTCATTACATAAAATTTAGCAACATATTAAAGGAAAAAAAAAATCAATAATGATTCCATCCTCAGAAAGAGATTACTGTTACCATTTTGGTATCTTTAAAGTATCTTAAAAGTACTATTAAAAGGATACTTTAAAGTATCTCTCTATGCATATAGTCTTTTAAACAAAATGTCACAGGCTCCTCATGTGTAATTGACTTTATATATATAAATAAAATCCATCTATATAAATATGTTAATAACTGTATCCAGTATCTCTTTATTTCAGATTTCAGTAATATCAGTATTAACCTCATATTCAATTCTATAAGACAGATTTAGAATTATCAAGTGATACCACTAAAATTGGTGTAACTGACTACTCATGACAGAATTTTAGTTGACTAGCTTAACAGGAGAAAAAAAAAATTCTTGGGGTTAATGCCAACTTACATAACATTTTTATCAAATTACAATATTAATTGAACTTGACCAAAGCAGAAATAAACTTAAGATACGCCTCCCCCAACATGTGCCAAATTAATTTAATCTTATTAGTTTTATAACTCCCTTATTTCAATTTGTATATTTGCCTTATTTTGACAGTTATATAATATTGCTTTTTATCTGGCTTTATGTATACACATATTTAAATAACAGTACACTATCCAATCTAAAAAGACAGAGGGAAAATGCAGGTAGGTATTTATCCAGCCCAGTTTATAACAACAAATGTCTAGTAAGCAATCTAAATATCCAAAGAGGAAAAAAGTCAATGGCATGCCATGGAAAACCACACAACCACTACATTATGTGTGTGCAGTCTTATTGACAAAAATTTCCTCCCCTTTCTCTACCTGCTATATTGTTAACATTTCTGTTTCACTTTTAAAAATTAAGCTTTTTCTGCCAGAAAATCTCCTTGATTTCCTCTCTGTTTCTCCAGAAGTCACTATTATATGGGAAATACTAGTTAGAAACATGTTAACAATCATACTAAATTCTTAACAGCACCTTAGCAACTCCACACATCCAATGGCCTGCTAAATGGCTGTGGAATGAATAAAATTCCTGAGAGAAGTATAGAAAACCCAAAAGTATTTTTGACTAGACTTACTTTCATCATTTTCTCCAGCCTCAGATGTCACAGTAATGGTGAAGCTGGGTGGATTTTCTGATAATACTGCAAGAAAATATACACAGAGGTTAAGTTATTAACATAAGGCACAAGCTTTTCCTTATTAGCAAAATACCAGTTCCCAGTTCTAGAAACTGATCCCTAGCCTGTATTCCCATTTCCACAATACAGACTTAATAGTAACAGTTCAGATGATAAAACATCCATCAATTTCTATTTAAATCTAGGGTTTTCTTTAATCTGGGAAAAAAATACCTGATATTCTCTTGGAGTTTTATCAATTAAGTAATTTATATTTTAATTCAAAGTTTCCACCCACACATGGAAAGTCACATTCTAAAAAATTTCCAAATGAAATGGCAAAAAAAAACAAGTTTGATGTTTCTCATCAGAACCTACCCACTCATAAATACTCAGTATTATCACTAAGTTTTATACTTACATATTTTGAAACACAATTCAGAATCTCTATGACAATCAGTAAGTACCAGTTTGTAAGAGTTTGTATCTTCTAGATATCTCTTTCTCCCACATTGTCTCTAAAAACTTTGTTCTTTCACGGAATTACAAAATTATCCATGAATTCAAATATCAAATTACTTCCAATTTGTTAAGCAAGGCATGTCAATCAGCATTTATGCAAACAAGAAAGCTTTATATGCTGTTTTACTGCCTGATGTCTATCTGATACTATTTATCTGTTTATGATCTATTCCCCAACAAGAATAAGAACTCTGAGAACTGCTGGATCAGTGCCAGGCAGTATCTAGAAACTCAATAAATTCTGGCTCAATGAAAGATCTAAACAATAAAAGGAGAAAGACAATAACAAATAAAACTCATATTTGAAACCATCAGAAAACTAAAGAAGGAAAATTCAAGCCACCCTTGACTACTGCTGAGCCCACAAAAGTCTGTACTTCACTCCAGGCCTGGGAAGCACCAACCCCTACCCTATCAAGGTTAACAGCTCAGCAGGCTCTTTCTGACAAGGGGCTCCCTGAAGACGTCACCATGAAAAGGACTCAGCTTTTCCTACTCAGTAACTTCTGAAGTCGTTATAAATATTCATTATTGATAAAATTTTCAAGACATATGCCCTCATTCTAATTGAAGTTTGGAAGTACCTGAAGCAATGAGGAACACCTATGACTAGTAGAGAGGGTTTGTCAGAAAAGAAAAAAGACTTACTGGATGAATATTTTAATAGGTCTCAGGCTGTCCAGCCTATGTTGAAAAAGCCCCTAAAAGGCAATTATAGTAGTAAAGCTTTTATGATACGACTGGCCCTACCTTTTTTTCCTAACAAATGTGTGTAAAATATATTAGATGTATTTCATCCCCATTTTTTTCAGAACCAACTTTAGCACTTACATGTCATGAAATATAAACATTGCAACTACAGAAATAAGGCTTCAATGAGGCTGTAATTTAGGGGAACCTATACCCAATAACAGCTCACATTTACTGAGCATTACTTTGCACTTGTGCTCTTCTATGCATTTACACAAAATCCTTTATTTCTCACACCAAAATGGTGATTTTATACTATCATCATATTTTACCAAATTTAAGATGCCATCAAGTATATGATGCACCCTACTTTATGCACCACTAAGAAAGAAAAAAGGAACTGCCAAATAAACTATGATATGTAGTCAACTGTAAGACAAATTCAGACTTCAAAGATGTTTAAATGTTAAGATGTCTTAGAATCAATTAAATACAGTATCATTCAAATTTTATAGATGTGGAAACAGGGATAAAAAAGCTTTTAAATTATGTGCCCAAAGCTATACAACTAGTAACTGGCAGGACTAAATAAACTGTGTAGAATTTCATCTAAAAAGAAAAAAAAAAAAAATCCAGCTGAGAAATTCCAGGGAAGTCATTGGAGCTAGGTGGTGGATTAAGGCATACTCTGTAAGGAGAGATGGAGAAAAGGAATGCAGGTTAGAGTAACGTGGCAGCAAGGGTATAATGGTAAGAGAGCTTAAGGAACATACAAGGAATTAGAAATTATTCCACTGGTGGATGTATGTGGCGAATAAAACAGGTTGAAAATAAACAGCTGAAAGTTTAGTGTGGATAGTGATAGCTTTTTTTAGTGGTAGTAATAAGGTCAGAATTCTATTTCTAAACACAGAAGTTAAATCCAGCAACAGTTAAATCCAGCAACAGTACATAAAACAGAAGGAGAAAAACAAGACGAGAGGCAGGATGAAAGCAGAGAGCCACTGAAACTGTCCCAGCAAAGTCAATGAGGTTCTGAACTAGGCTGGTAACAATGGAAACAGGGAACAGGAAGAAACTGAAGATGGTGATGGGGGACAACCTGAATTTGCAGGCAGGACCATGAACAAAAACAAGGACTAGAAATGAAAGACCAGACATATTTGAAGAACACAGGGTACTTTCAGCTGAAAATATCAAGTATGCAATCAGAAATGGGCAAATGACACTGAACAAAGTTGGGCTGGAATTTAATTTGGGATCATCCACAGAGAGGTAACAGGGAAAGCCATTTGACTAAATGAAATCACCAGAGAGAACGCAGAGAGAGAAAGAAGGGCCAGGATCAGCTGTGTAAGGAGTCCTAAACTTGGGGAACAAAAGCAAGAGGAGGAATAGTTCCAGCGATTGAAAGAAAAGCAGTCATGACAGGTCAACCCTCAAGAGAAGCCCAAGTACCCAGAGATGCAGGTCTAAGGCAGGACCTCCAGTGCGCCACGTGTCTGAGGAGCTATGGGTGAGGGTACCGGAGAAGGAGCCTGTAAGGTCACACCGAAAGCCCTGTCAAGGCGCTTAGTGCCGGGCCCCTGCACACGTGTCAGGCCTCATTTTCTGTGTCTCTCACTTTACCTTCTAACTATACGGAACTACCTGTCCTTTGCACACATGGCTCTCACATGTGCCGCCTCCCAGAGTCTTGTTTATGTAACTCCACATCACCCCCCAGCTCTCCAAAACAACTCAGACGCCTCTCCCTCAGTTCCCGCTGCATTCTATATATACCTCCATGAAAGAATCATCCCTTCTGTTGTAAATTACTTATCTGATGTCTTTGCCCAAGAGACTGAGCTCCTAACAGTACATACAGTAAACATCTGGCAAGTGAGGAAACCATTTGGTAAATGAGGACAGGGGAATGCTAGCAAGAACATCACTGAACTGCCTGACCATGATGAATAAGATAAAAGCTGATAAACTACCAATCCATGAAAATTTGTGATGAGAGCCATGTTCAGTAAAAGCCTGAAAACGAAAGAACTTAAGGGCTACAAAGTTTATGGATGGAAAGAGGAATTTCAGAGGTGAAAATTTTAAAGATGGCATTTCCAAGCTGTGACTATCGCCCCATGCAGTTGGAGGAAATAGAAATCAAAACTGTTTGTTGATAAAGACAGGAGTTATGAAGAAGTATCAGAAGCAGCAGCAACTAAGATGGCAAATTTCCAGGAAACAGTATCTTGTATTTGTTTAACAGTTATAAAGTATCCACACTCGTATTAGTGCTGTGTCCAATGCTTTTCGACCCTGCGGACTGTAGCCCACCAGGCTCCTGTCTATGAATCCTCCACGAGAGAATACTGGAGTGGGTTTCCATTTCCTCCTCCAAGGGATCTTTCTGATCCAGGGAATAACCTGAGTCTCCTTCATCTCCTACACTGGCAGGTGGATTCTTTACCACTGCGCCATCTGGGAAGCCCCTTGGTGGAAGCTCCCCTGGAGAAGAGAAGAGCTACCCACTCCAGTAGTTTTGCCCGGAGAACTCCACGGACAGAGGAGCCTGGTGGGATACAGTCCATGGGGCTGCAAAGAGTCAGACATGACTGAGCGACTAACTCTTTCACACTTACATTATTCCTTATTAAACAGATAAGGAAGCTAAGGCTTAGAGAGGTTATATGATTTGTCCAAGGACAGAGAGCTTATACCCACTGCACCAAATTGCCATTACAAAGAAAAAATGGTGAATCAGGAACAAAGATTTTGGAGAACAATGCTAATTTCTGCAATAGCCACTCTCCCCTTCTTCCAGTTATACCATTTTCAACTGAGTGTACTGCCCATCCAGAATAAAAACTGTCATTCCCAGCCTCCTTCCAGTTAGGTCTCACCAAATGACTGAGTTACAGCCAATGGGATAGAAGGAAGTAAGTCCTTTGATAGTTTTTGAGGAAATTTCCTTAAGGAACTGCTGTCTTTTACTTCTCCCCCCCCGACCTCCCCCCACCCCAACTTCATTCCTTTATCTATCTTACTGCCTGGAAAAGGAATGCTGCCATCCTCACCATGAGGGTGAGACTACATCTTAGGGATGACAGAGAACTAGGAAGAAGACTGGGTCCCTGAAGAAATCTTGAACTAGAGCTACACAAGTCTCATTTATGTGCAAGAGCAATAAACTTTTACCTTTTAAAAACCAGCTATTTGGGGTTTTCTGTCATAGCTAAACTTAATTTAAAAAAAAAAAAACAGAAAATGAAAAGGGATAATATTCCAAAGCTTGGAGGTTACTAAAATAGGGAAACTTACTTAACTGGACTTGCAAAGATGAATTATTCCTGAGTTCTCATGAAGTGATAATCCTATTCCAATCCATTACTACTGTACTGTGAGCTGAGGCAAGTTGAGGATTAGCTTTCACTAAAGAGACCAGTCCATCCTAAAGGAAATCAACCCCAAATATTCATTGGAAGGACTGATGTTGAAGCTGAAGTTCCGATACAGGGGCCACCTGAAGTGAAGAGCTGACCAACTGGAAAAGACCCTGAGGCTGGGAAAGATTGAGGGCAGAAGGAGAAGAGGGTGACAGAGGATGAGATGGTTGAATGGCATCACTGACGCAATGGACTTGAATTTGGGCAAACTCCGGGAGATAGCAAGGGACAGGGAGGCCTGCTGCGCTGCAGTCCATGGGGTCACAAAGAGTCAGACATGACTTAGCAACTGAACAACAACAACAAAGAGACCAGATATCCAGCACTGTGAGTGGATCAAAATCTTTTTGAAAGAGAGAATAAAGTTGTTGGGCACTGTGCAAGGAACCAGTGGAGGGGCAGATGACGGTAAACTAGACAAAACTAAGAATTGTGTCAAGAGCAGAGAAAATGGAGGTAGTAGCTGATAGGTACACTAAAGGGACGCACAAATGACAGGTTTTCACACAAAAAAACAGATCAGCCCATTTTAAAGGAAGTCCCTATGGGTCTTAGAGAACAACTGTCCTAGAAAAACTGCTTTCACAAGATGACTTCTGCCCGGTGTCTAAATGCAATTACAACTGTTAAGCTCATGGCTGTTAACTCAGAGGTACTAACACAAGCAAATAGAGGATTACATACTCCACTTTGTAAGATCAAACAGAATTAAGGGAACCTGACTTTTGTTTAGCCTGAAGCTAACCAGTTTGATCCAACAAAACTCCCCATATATAGCCAGAGACTTTGATACAGAAATGGAAATAACCAAATTCAACTATCTTAGCAGGATCTTGTCAAGTGAAGCACAACTGAAAGAGAAAGTGCTATCAGGAGCGTCTATGTATATTTTAGAAGACTAGTTGTTAGGACGACTGGATTAGTGTGCAATCAAGTTACAGAGTGGACACAAAGAAGAAACTGTATTATGATCTGTTATAATTCATGACAGAGGCAACATTGGGTCAAAAGTTCTCTGCAAATAGCCAGGAAATCAGTTCTCAAGTCAGGTTAGGTCTATGTGCCTAGGACTACAGCTGGATGAATGGTGCCTCTTCAGCCTCCACAAGGGGGCCATGATGCACTCTATCATTTATTTTAAAAATTATATACACACACACATATACACACACACACACACACACACACACACACTTATTTCATCAACAGCATTGAGCATTTACCAAATCTAATATTCAGTGAAATTCAACATGAGATTTGAAAACTACCAATTATTGTTCCTTGGCAAACTATTACAAACAAGCTCTCTTTCTTAAACCAGGTATGAAAATACTAAAGTATGAAATCATCAACACATAAGAAAGCTATAAAAAACAGTATACCTTGAAAATCCTCAAAAGATTCCAAAAGACCAAACACAGAAATAAATGACTCCAAAGTCCGCTTGCCTTTGCCTTGAGATTTCATACAGAAGTTGACCAAAGTTCCTAAGTAACTATAAATCAGGACAGCTCATTTTAACTTATTTAATGCAACTGTAGGGGTGCTGCTATGAATTAAGAGACAGAAGGGCTCAGCTAATACTGCAGAGTACTTGAGGCGTCCAAGATCCACAAATTTTCTTTTTTTAACTTGACTCAGAATTCTCAAGCACTTTTGCATCTAACAAGAATTTCACGTACCCAACTATATCAGAGCCTAGTACGATGTGAAAGAACCATCCGATTATTTTAGGGTTAAAATGTATCACTTTTACAAATGTTTATAAGCACAATATTTAATGAGTATTACCTCAATGTCCAAAGAAATGAGAAGAGCACATCTTGTGCTTTCTTAAGTCTGCCTATGCTGTGTTCATGCCTGTCCCATTTCCAATGTATCAGAAATGACCAAACGTCACGATTCAGAGTCTGTCCAACAACTGACCCTACATTCTGTTTTATTTAGACATTGATACATAAGCAAGGATAGAGAAGGGAGCCAGACTCCATACACACTCACCCAGTTAATGACACTCTCAAACCCCTCTTCACTCATCCCCTTAACATCCTCACAGCACAGCTGTACTGCTGAAGAGAGAACATGAACAGGACTGGAAGTATACAGGGAGAGCTGAGAGACAAAGCCCTGTTGGCAAAGCAGAACAAAATTTGCTACCATTGCAAGCAGTGATCAAAGGGTAGAGCTAAGAAAACTAAGCTAAACAACGACAAGGGAGAGGGGCTGGAGTTTATGAGTTAAAATAACATGACCTTACACTCTGAATTCTGAGTCAGTGAAGGACGGGATAAGGAAGGTAAGTCCCACAAACCTAGGCTATACACGCTCATATTGGCTTTATTAGATCACCTCTCAAAACCTGACTCTTATTACCAGTCCTGCTACTAACTTGCTGGCCAACCCAGAGCCACCCGCTTGCCTTTCCTGAGCCTCCATTACCTTGCCTCTGGCAAGAGGAAGCCAGGCTGCTAAGTCACTTCAGTCGTGTCCGACTCTGTGCGACCCCATAGACGGCAGCCCACCAGGCTCCCCCGTCCCTGGGATTCTCCAGGCAAGAACACAGGAGTGGGTTGACATTTCCTTCTCCAATGCCTGAAAGTGAAAAGTGAAAGTGAAGTCGCTCAGTCCGGTGGGACCCTCAGCGACCCCATGGACTGCAGCCTTCCAGGCTCCTCCGTCCATGACGTCTAATATCCTACTACAAGCCTACCTACCTGGGATCTTACAGTGGACCTGGAATTTGAGCCAACTCATTCATTGGGCAATCTGCAGAATCTCAGAACATTAAAAAATAAAAAAGAAGAGAAGAGAAAAACGACAAACTTCGGGGACAAAACAACTCTCAAAACTGATCCTGGGTAACTTTGAGAATTCTGAATCCACAAACTTTAAAACACCAAATATGAGAAAAGAGCCTGAATGATGGTGAAAATGTGAAAACTGACACTTCTGCGGCTCTGGAAAGACTACTCCCACTTGGAGTACCTTCATTCGTGTGTTTCACTAAACCTCACGCTGCTGTTAGTTCAGATCAGTTCAGTCGCTCGGTCGTGTCCGACTATTTGCGACCCCATGGACTGCAGCAACACAGAAACCAAAGTGCACCCGACTGAATTCCAGGCCTGACACTCCAGGGACCTTGCTAGCCTCGCCCGGACTTTCAGATTTCAAGGAATTAGCGGAGAAGAGAAAACAGCCGTAGAGTCACTAGTAAACGCCTGATCACTTCAAGAGAAGAGCTACAGGAGAGAGTGGCGAGCGAGGTGGCCACGCGGCCTGGCTGTTCCCTTCTCCATCCTGGCCGGGGATTTCGAGGGCCGTGGAGGCGGCGGCCCGTCCCACTCCACCCCGGGTAGCTGTGGGCCTGCGGCCGCGGAAGTCACCTGTGAAGGAGTCAGGGTAGATGGACTCCAGAGCCTCCAGCTCATTGCGCTGCTCCTCGCCGTAATCTGTCATCGCGGCCCTCGCTGCAGCCCATGGATCGCCCAGACACCCAGGCGGCGTGCTGCAGCCTGGACCGCGGCCGCGCTGGGAGAGCAGGCAGCCGCTGGGCGGGCGCAGGCGCAGAGTCCCAGGCGGAGAGGCCTGGGGCCCACAGCCAGGCTGGGCCTGCTGAGCAACAACCCCACGCCGGCCTCCGCCTGCTCCCTAGTTCCGCGTTCGACTCGTCGGGCCTGGCCGTTGGGCTGCCTGTCCCACGCCCGCTCGGGACTTGCTGGGATGGGGGAAAGACACCTGGTCTGGCATTTGCCACAGACACCTAAGGATTGGTTACTGGACTTTGCAGAGCCAGAACCTGAGAAGGCCCTGAGCGCCGCATCCTCGCTCTACTAGTCTGGTCTTAAGGCCAGCCTCGGGTACCCGGGAGGGACTGTCTAGCTGGAGGCGGGACGCTGGGGCTTCTCTGCACTTGGTCGCTGCGGGTCTCCAGGTTGCATCCCTGTGGCAGCGTCCAGAGAGCGGATGCCCACATCCTAGTGCTGACTAATGGCGTGTCGCAGGTGATTTCTACGTTTCTGGAACCTCAAAGTTCTCGGCATCCCACAGGACTGTAGAATCCAGTGGGCAGAGGAACAGCTCTCGTAATACATCAGGCGGGTCCAGAAAGCTCGGCCCAACTTCCGAGTAACGAGTCAATGGACCTGCGGGAGAAAGCAAGTGAAAGTCCTGAGATCTTTTGAATTTGTGAAATGAACGCGGCACGATGTAGATTTAAATATTCTGAGATCGCGTATTTCTGAACTGGGTGTAAGTTTCGGTAACAGTTTTGGTAAGTATTGTCTACGAAAAATACTCAGAACCTTTGATTTGGAAGAATGAAACTGAAGAAGTAATAGTACTTAATACATATACATCTCTTATCTTCCAGTTCATCACAGCAGTTACAAAGAGAGTTTTCAAAAAAACTGTAATCGCACAAACTAAGGAAATGGCCAAACATGGTATTTTTATGAAATGAAAGCTAAAGATACATTTATGTGTATAATAAAGGAAGATTTTTAGTTTTTTAATGCAGAAAAATACAAGAACATTAAAATTTTTTTCATATTCGTCTGTGTTTTTGTTTTTGTATTAACGCTTAGAGATAAAGGCTCTGAGGTTTTCTCTTGATAAAAGGATGATGTCCCATGAACCAGAAGGTATCTTGATATTTTGTTGGGACTTATTGCCTACTTGGCAACCCACTCCAGTATTCTTGCCTGGAGAATTCCATGGACAGAGGAGCCTGGCGGGCGAGAGTCCATGGGGTAGGAAAGAGAATGACGTGACTGAGCGACTGACACGCACACTACCTACTTAGCAGAAGGATATGTGAAAACGGACATATTCGCTTTGGTATTGATTCCATGTCTTCGGCATTAAGGGTTGATTAGGGTATTGTTTTAAATTTTCAAGAAAAAAATGGGAACTCTTCTGTGGATGGTAAGAATCACAGGAAATACATGAAGTAACTTTGCAAATACAAGGTGCTGCTTCTGGATATCCTCGGTTTACGGAAATCAGTGATTTATTACTGGAGAAGAAGGTTCTGTGCAAAGGGGAGCCCCAGTGCTAAGATCCTAAGGTGAGAGCCTGCTTGTTATTTTGGAAGCCAGTGTGGCTGATGCATGGTGAACTGGTGTGGGAGTTTGCGGATCATGTAGGATCGTTGGAGGATTTAGATGGAAGAGGGACAAAGTCTGAAAGTGTGGAGATCAGTTAGACCATAGCAATAATCTAAACAAAGACAATGATGATTTGGACCAAAGCTATAGGACGAAACAGATTCTGGATATATTTTGAAGGTGTCAGGATTTGATATGGGTTGTAAGAAAAGGATGAGTAAGGGGTGATATTTGGCAGGAACTGGAAAGAAGTAGTTCTTTTGACCAAAATGACAAATGAGGAAGACAGAATGAGTTTGGCAAGGAAGTTGATAGCACCTTTAATCCATGGATCAAAGAAAAATGCCAAGTAAAAAATTTGTTAATTTTCTAAATGATAATCAAAACACAGGTTGTCAAAATAGGTGCAGTGAAGCAACCAATAAGCTTTATATTAGGAAAAGAAGGTTGGTTACAAGTTTTAATTTTGTAAATGGAGTGCCCCTTTATCTGCTTTACTTTTTTATTAACAGAAATTTTAGGAAAACATCATTTTCAAATCCATTGTATATTTACTGTAAAAGCTTCATATTTCAGGATGCTCAAGAGTGGTTCTTTAATTTTTAATACTAAAGATAACTTCCAGTGCTAATGTAAGCAAGAGAACTCACTTCCAAATCTGTGTCACCTATTTGGGCATCATTAAGCATTTTTGGTTGATTTCTAATTTCCTTTTGACACAGAGACACTTCACAGAACACCCACCTGAAAGTGGGTGATTTTTATGAGACAGACTGGCTTTCTTTCAATGTCTCATTTTTAATTGGTAGTTAAAGATGTTACAGGATAAGTGTGTTTCAAGCTCTGCAGACAGGTAAACGATATAGTGGAGACAAGCATCATGGGATCTGAAGCCAGAAGTGGGAAGTCCAGCCTTAGCACTAACCTTTACAGGTTATATAAACTTTTAAGATCATTCGAATAACATGAAACAATGTATGTGAAAGCACACTGCAAATTATCAAATAGGTTATCAGTGTTAGTAATTAGAAATGTATAGAAATATGTATATAGTCCTCTGAAGCAGTTGTTTTTTCTCTTCTCTGTTAATCTTGACTGCTAAAGAAAAATGTCCGTGAGAGATTCATTGTATCATTTGTGTTTTTTTCTGCAAATAATGCAAACTCACAGTTGCTACTTCCTAATATTCAGTCAGTCAGTTTAGTCACTCAGTCGTGTCTGACTCTTCGTGACCCCATGAATCGCAGCACGCCAGGCCTCCCTGTCCATCACAAACTCCCGGAGGTTACTCAAACTCATGCCCATCGAGTCGGTGCCATCCAGCCATCTCATCCTCTGTCGTCCCCTTCTTGGAATTAGCAGTCTTCAAAATGTGTTTTGAAGTTTATTTTTGCTTTTCTGTGCTTATGAGTTTTTTAGGCCATCTCACTTTTCTCAGAAGTGCAGGATTGAGAATTCCCTATTTAAAGGTTAATCTTAATTCTCAAACAGTTCATGTGGCTAATGTGTCATTTAGTCAGATGTTTCAAAGACTCATTACCCTCATAAGTGCAAAGACCCATATGAAATTCTGATTCTGAGAGTTCCTCTGAATGGTAGTGAATCTCCGAATCACTTCCAGCCTAACTAATCTTCCTGGCTGACTCAACATAAAGGGACCAGAGTGATCCTGTTACAATGTAAACCAGGTCATGTTACTCTTTTGCTCATGACTGCTCCCTCCCCATCTCAGATTAAAGGCCCATGTGTTGACAGTACAAGCGACTCCCTGACCATCACCTGCACCTGGCAGTTTCTCTGACCTTACCTCCTATTACTCTGCCACCTATTCTGTGCTTCAGCCTCACTAGCTTCCTTGCTGTTCCTCAGATATGCAAGGCAGGCTGTCCCCCTGAAAAGGGACTTCCTATTTGCTCTATCTGGAATGCTCTTCCTCCCATGCCCACATGGTCAGCTCCCTCATCTCCTTGGCATCTTCTTCACATGCAACTTTTCAATGAGGCTACCTCAACCACTGTACTGAAAATTACAGCCACTATTGATTCCCTTTATCTTATTTTATTTTACTCATGACACTTTAAAATTACACTATGTGTTATGTTTATTCTATTAGAATGTAAATTCCTTAGGGTCAGTGATTTTAGATACTGTTGTACTTTATGATATAGGGTAGTCCCTGACACAGAATAGGCACTCAAAAAATACATATATTCTCTGAAGGAGTGAATCCTATGCAATGATAACATGGTATGGTTCTAAAAGCACTGGACTAGGGAGTTATAAAACTATAGCCCTTCTTTACAATTAAATTACCTTATGTGCTTGGATCAGACCCATCTTTTCTGGGTCTCAGCTTCCCCATCTGTGAAATGGGACTGTTGGGCAAAAATTATCTTCCTGATGCTTTCTATGTATAAGAATCTATAATTCCTCAAGATCATGTATATACTGAAGATAGTTGTGTGAAATCAGACTTCAAAGTTAGTGGTTAACATCTCTGACCCAAGGTGTCATGGCCACAGGAGTGGTGTCTGTGGATGGAGTTGTTATATTTCTAACACCCTTGACACTAATGTTTTTGAACCAAATAACAAGATGGGGGCCTCCGTCCTGGAGAACAATGAAGTAGGGACAGCATGAGTTTTAAGTGGGCTGCACTTCCAACGTTACCGTGCGCATAAGAATGACGTACATTTACATCTGTACATGTTCCTTTTCTCTAGCTAGTAAGGGCCATTTCGATCACTTGTTCTCTTTTTTCCTCCTTCTCTTACACTTCCTCCCTCTTCTCTCTGTCCCACACGCACATGTGCACTCATGGGTACATGCACTTTGCTTTGGATTTGAAAGGGACTGAGTGGAGAAGGAAGAGAGAAAATAGAGGAGCAAAAGAGGTGTGGGAGAAGATAGGGTTAGTGAAATGCAACATGATTTTTTAAATGTATTTAGGGAAAACAAACTTGGAGGTTAAAGTGGAAAGCTAAAATTTAAGTCAGATTATGTTTTTGGCTTCCCGAAAGAATATAGTGAAGGTTGAGCCAGGGATGCCCCTAAGTTTGTGCAGGTCCTGGGCAAACATTTCTGTGGGGTCCTTGGCTATACAGTAAGTAATGATATTAAAAGATGTATTTTAAAAATGCATGGGCTCATGCAAGGTCCAGTGGTTAACTGATGTAGAATAATAAAGAGAGACACTTACACATTAGTTTACTGTTTAATCAGTGTCCATGTACCATCCCTTCCTGCTCAGGTTGAACACCCATCTCTTTCTGTTCTTTATTGTCAAATAAACTGGTTCCATCTAATTTCATATCTCCTACAATGACTTTTTAAAACATAGCAGTGCTGTTACTATTGTCAATACCGTGGCTCTTTGTAATTTCTATGGAAACAATATAGTTCTTGCCTCTGCAATATTCTATACCATTTCACAGGTGACATCATTACTCATTAACTCTATCATCATGGTGCTGCTCCTGAACACTGGCTTCCAATAATTTTCTTGAAGAATGTACTCTAGATGATGTCCACAAATACAATTCTTACTCAGGATATGCAGAAAAGTGTAAATGATCATTTGTTTTCCAGTCACGTTAAATTTACCATCTTCCAGAAATGGCTTGATTTCTTTGGGCCATAATCACTGCATCCCTCGCCTGGGATCTCTTCTGGAGTTGGATGCATGCCACCCTCCACACGCCACCAGCTGGGAGGACCAGACAGGAAACTGCAGCGGAGCCAGGACAACGGTCCCTTTTGCATGCAAGGAAGGAGCTGACCCACCAGCAGAGTGCAGGTCACCACCCTGTCAGCAGCCACAGAGAAGGGCGTCTGAGTACCTGTTGCCGCCGGCCCCACCCATCAACCCAGGCGCCCACCCTCACCCACTGCGGTCAGAGGCGGGCATCTGGCGCGGTCCACCCTGAGCGGCCGCGGTGCTGCGCACCAGGAGAGGGGCCGCAGTCACGGCCAACTCAGACACTGTAGCCGGAAGCTGGCACCTCTGGTCGAAATACCCCCGGCACCCCAGGCTTGGGGAAGAGGGTCTGTGAGCGCACAGAAATAAAGAAACTGGCCCAAGCGGTTGGGCCCCAGAAAATCTCCAAGGGTGAGCGGAAAACGCAGAGCTTGCTGACCACAGGCAGCACAGAACTGCATACTTACTCCATTTTATTATTCTAACTCTGCCCGTGATAACTTGGATGGTTTTTGCTTTTTGCTTTATCTTCCCTGCAGAATAAAGCCCTTTCTCATAGTACTCTTAGGATCCATTAAATCATTAATGGAGTAAAGATCTTGACATCAATAGAACTGTATGTTATAGTCTTTCTCAAAAGCTTCTTTCTCAAATTCAAGTTATCTCCAAGGGAAAGAATGGCAAGCGTGAACTTACTAGCCAACTATTTTTAATTTATGAAATTTAAATAATAAAACACCACATGGATCAGGATTATTTTTTTCCCTTCGGCATTTGTTTTCCTTCATTTCAAATGCTGGATTATATCCATAATATGTCATAGAGTATAACATATGGTTCTGTTGATGTCATTAACTGGCAAGGACACAAGACAAATGTAATTTAAATATTTTTATTTGTTTGGATTGAAACATCTATAGAAACATAAAATGTATGTTCAGCTGTTCTTTCAGCACTTTAGAACACCTTTAGAATATTTTATATTTTTATATTATAGCATAAATATATTTGTTTTCCTAGAGCAGCAGTTGCCTAGGGCAGAGTATCAATGCATAAATGCTTATGCTAGAAAGTAACCTTGAAGAGGCCTTAATCCAAAGCATGTCACTCATGACAGGCTTGTGGGGTCATAAACTCCCGAAATGTACTGATATATGTGTTTGCTTCCTATCTCCACTGTAGCCAATTACCAGGAGCTTAGTAGCTTAAAACAATGCAAATGTATTATCTTACAGTTTGTAACTGTGAGAACGGTGTATATTTCTTATTATCAAACACAGGTCAGACACAGGTCTCAGTGGCTCCAATCAAGGTGTCAGCAGGACTGTGTTCCTTCTAGAGGTTCTGGGAAGAATCCATTTCCTGGCCTTTCCAGCTTCTAGAAGCTGCCTGCATCTTGGCTCAGGATCCTTGACATCTTTAAACTATGGCTAATTTCTCTGACCCTTCACGACACTCCTCTTTCATCGCCACTCGGCCTTTTCTCTGACTTTGGTTCCTTCTCCTATAAGAGCCCCTGTGATTACAGTGAGTCCACCAGGATATTCCAGGATAATATCCCTGTCTCAAGATCCTTAACTGGACATCTGTGGTGTCTCTTTTGCCATGCAAAGTATAAAGTATGATTCACAAATTCTAGGGCTTAGAATGTGAACATGTTCAGAAGGCCAACATTTAGTCTACCTCAGTACACAGTCTCTGAGGTATGTGAGCCTGTGTGGGTATGTTTGCACAGTCACTGGATATTTCCTCAAGATAACTTTTCCCAGAATGGCTCTTCAAAGGGTCTGTGACTCAGGATAGTTTAAACACTTAACTCCCACAATGTGATCAACCTCTCTATCTTTTGGAAGGGAAATTCATTCCAGAGAGATTGACTTTTATAAGACAGTATGAATGATGAGAGAGTGTGTTTTCCTTTGTTCCACTTTGACCCTTCATAACGATACCCTATCGAAAACAAATTGACAGATTATAGCAGTGTTCTGCCACTCCCAGAATGAGAAGGTGAACACCGGAGATTCCTGGGCAAGCTTGCAGTTAGTCTGTAGCTAATAAAATTAGTGTCGCTGGTTGTTGAGTAGTTCAGGTCCAAAGTGACAGTAGACAAGTCACTTTGCTAAGCAGAACACTGCCTTGAAAGTGAACCATTATATATGTAGGTGCAGTGAAAGTAGAAAGAGATAGGCAGGTAAGATAGGCATCTTATTTTTAGAACTCAGGATGTTTTAGTGATTCACAGACAGGGGAAGGAGGAGAACCTCCTGACGTCTACAAGGCCCTGGAAGGTTTGTGATATGCCTCATGTTGCTGTATTCAGTTCTTTGGAGTGCAGTGTCAGAAGTCAAGACTAGCAGGGAACTTTAGCAAAGTGCTGGACTTCTCTATCTTCGTTTACCTTATCCATAAAATGGGAGAACTTATTTTATTTGGGTCAAATAAGACTGGATTCAAATTATGAACAATGATTCACAAGTTATCAAATAAAAATAATTATGTCATAAGAAAGCATTTTATTCATTTAAGAATTTACACCACTCTGAATTCCTTCACATTCTCTATGTCATTAATGTCATTTCAGCAATTCATTTTCTAATATGTGACTCTACCATTTTGCTGTAAAGAAAGATGGGGTCATTTGTTTAAATTAGCTTCATAATACCTAAATACTAAGAATTCTTTTGGGCGTCCCAGGTGTCTCAACGGTAAAGAATCAGCCTGCAATGCAGGAGATACAGGTTTGATCCCTGGGTTGCAAAGATATCCTGGAGAAGAAAGTGGCAACCCACTCCAGTATTCTCGCCTGGGAAATCCCATGGACGGAGGACCTGGTGGGCTGTAGTCTATGGGCTCTCAACAGTCAGATACAGCTTTGTGACTAAGCAACAGCAAGAAAAGAATTCCTTTTACAGCGGCTGCTGCGGCCGCCACTGAGCTCAAGTGCAGCCATCTGTCTCTACCACGAGAGGGCAGCAGAGGAAACAAAATTGGAAAAACATTTCTGAAGTCCTAGTGAACTGAGATTAGAGTTTAATTGTGCTTGGTGGTTTGAGTTTGAGCAAGCTCCAGGATTTGGTGATGGGCAGGGAAGCCTGGCATGCTGAGGCTGAGCCCATGCTGAGTCTGTGTCGCAAAGAGGCCGACACGACTGAGCGACTGAACTGAACTGAACTGAACTGAAGAGTAATTCGGGTCAGGGACAATGAAATTTGTCTCTCTGAAAGTAACATCATTGCTCCTTGGTCCAGAGGTGACATTTATAACTGTGCCCCACAGCTCATGGAGCCAGTTGTGTAGCTGTCTAAGGACAGTTTGCCAACATCTACTCCTTCAGTAACCAGTGCCAAATTTTAGTAGGTTTGTTTAGAAGCTAAAATGAAAACTCTAAATCATATATTTTGAAGTAGCGAACAGCTGCTGAGTCTTGCATTTGGAAGGCCTCTGATTGGTTGTGATATTTCAAAGTTTTAAGGTTAATGTGATTTCCCGTTGTGCTACAAACAGAATGCAAAAAAACACTTTGTAAAATCACATTGTTGTTTCTTATTACAATCATCAGAGAAGGCCATGGCACCCCACTCCAGTACTCTTGCCTGGAAAATCCCATGGACGGAGGAGCCTGGTGGGCTGCAGTCCATGGGGTTGCACAGAGTCGGACACGACTGAGCGACTTCACTTTCACTTTTCGAGTTCATGCATTGGAGAAGGAAATGGCAACCCACTCCAGTGTTCTTGCCTGGAGAATCCCAGGGACGGGGGAGCCTGGTGGGCTGCCATCTATGGGGTCGCACAGAGTCGGACACTACTGATGAGACTTAGCAGCAGCAGCAGCAGCATTACAATCATGTGCTAGAATTTTTTTAATGGAACTGGAGACTGAGAACAGAGAAGGAAGACAAAGATGACTAGTATAAGTATGATTCTGCAATCATACTTATACTTATTCTGCAAATCAGCTTTGGAGAGCATAAATAAGCAGAGTAAAACACATCTGAACATTGGGAGTGTATTTTGTCTCCTGGGAAGGAGGCAGCTTGGATTGTGGGAGGCAGATGTGGGAGCTGATGAAGGTAAGAAATGAGCAAGTCTGTATTTATGCCAAGCCACAGCATTTGATGTAGTATCCAAACCCACTTGGTAGCAAAATATAAGGTAATATTAGCACATAATTGGTTTTAATTATATGTTTTAAAATTACATAAATCCATTAAGCATAAAGGAGAGGAAGCACAATGTTCTTAATAGAAAAGTTTTGTCCAACTGGCTATGGAACAGAAGAATATTCTGGACAAAAAAAAAAATTGGCAATTTAATTTGTTTAATTTGAAATAGATAAGATACAATAAAACTCAAGAATGTGCACTACCCTTTAAATGTTCATACAGATGCTACAAAACCCTTTGAAGCTACACAGAAAAGTTCCAAAATACTTACAATCCTCTGACAGAAAGTGAAAGATCATGATTAAGTGGTCCAAAAGATAAATTGTATGCAATACTCTGAAACAGCTTGATTTAGAAAGTGCTTCTAGAATTTAGTGGAAAGAAACTTTCATGGTGTCTGTATATGAACAACTATTCTTTCTGATGATATAAAGTTTTAACTTCATATACTCTGATTTTGATAACTGAAAATCTTACTAAAGAGTATTTATTCTAATTTCTGTATATATTATTCTATCAGAGTATATTTCCTGAAAACTAATAAAATCACTCAGATCATGGTACAAAATATTAGTGTGTCCCAATACAAAGGAATTTCAAAGATTCTCAGAGCCATGGGATTTGAAGCTGGAGAAGACTGTAAAAAAAAGTAGAGGTGGCCTCCCACAATGTGGTGGTGTTCACTCGTTCAGTCCTGTCTGACTCTTTGTAAACCCATGGACTGCAGCATACCAGGCTTCCCTATCCTTCACCATCTCCTGAAGCTTGCTCAAACTCATGCCCATTGAGGGGGTGATGCCATCCAACCATCTCATCCACTGTCATCCCCTTCTCCTCCTGCCTTCAATCTTTCCCAGCATCAGGGTCTTCTCTAACGAGTCGGCTCTTCCCATCAGGTGGCCAAAGTATCAGAGCTTCACCATCAGTCCTTCTAATGAATATTCAGGATTGATTTCCTTTAGTATTGACTAGTTTGATCTCCTTGCAGTCCAACGGACCCTCAAGAGTCTGCTCCAGCACCACAGTTTGAACATCAATTCCATAATCACACAGCTCATTTATATCAGAGCAAACCAAGACCCTACTTCCATACTTACTTCTATTTTTTAAAGATCCCTCTTGTCATGTCATATCAGAATTGTATACAGAATTAGATAAGTGGAGTAACTTTTCTCGGCCACTTGAAAAAATCAGTACACTATGGGATCGCAAAGAGTCGGACACGACTGAGCAACTTCACACATTTTATTTAAAGTGGAATGCCAGTGAATGTCTAGAGAGGAAAGCTCAGAACCAAACTCAGTGATATTTTCCTTTCAATAGAAACAACCTAAGCTACTAGTGCTCCAGAGGATTGTACACTTATTTGCCTGTATACATATAAGCATCTTATTAGTCTTAGAAAGGACCTCAAGAATTCATTTGATTCAGTTCCTTCCCTTCCAGCAGATAAGGTATCATTATCCCTATTTATAGATGCAACAGTTGAATTCCAGAGAGACTAACCAATTTGCCCAGGAACTGATGGAGAGGGAGGAACAGGTCTCCTGTCCTGGCAAACTACTATACTATGTATCTCTTATTGGCTAAAAAAAAAAAAAAAAAAAATAGTCTTCTTAATATTCATCTTTATTGTTTCTATTAAATTTGAAAGACCCATAATTTCACACAAAATGGACTCTTCCATGACTGTAAGATTACCAGGTAAGTGATTGCATTTTAGATGGCAAAAACCTCTGGTCTCCTTGAAAATGAATCTTGAAAGTCACCTTGACTCCTGGCAGTTGGTCCATGGTCCAGTAAGTAGCCATTATTTTGTTTAAAAGATAAAGAAAAACCCTCACTTTGCTTATTTTGACCAATGAACCAGTTGTTCAAGTGAATGTGGCAAAAATCATGCATGAGACTATATATATATATATATATATATATATATATATATATATCAGAAATAATGAAGATAAAATAGAAAACTGTCAAATATTAGAAGTAAAAATGTAGGTAGGTCTTCCCTTTTAGAGTTTAGATAATGGATCTACAAATATAGCTTGCAGCCTCCCTTCCTAAAATGGATTTTGAGTACAAAGGTGTGATAACAAAAAGACATAGATGGTGTCCTGGTAGTGGGACACAGGCGGAACTTTCTAGAATAAACTTTCTATATCATAGCTGTAAAAATGTTTCCACTATGGAGGTGCCACAAATAACACTTATGACACTGGTGAGGATACAATATGTGTTCATCTTTCCTTGGGTATGGCAAGATGACTCAGGACTGTCTTGCCTGGGCTTCCCCCTACATGGTAACAGTCTAGAAAGGGATTTTTTTTTTTTTATCCTGATTCCCAAAAGGTCAGATATTTAAGCTTGAAGAAAGAGGAAGAAACAGTGAAAAGAAGCTGCGTATTATACAGAGGTAGAAAATTTTAAAAACAAAACTTCGAGATAGCGAAAATAATGGTAAAAGACAAGCAATGCAAAGAGGAAGGGCAAAAATATCATTTATGAGCACTTATTTTATGAAAGGCATTGTGCTGAGTACTTAGCTTGTATTATCATATTTGTCATATATGTCCTCACAAAAGCTCTGAAGTAGCTGCTATCTGAGTGCAGATACAAAACAGCACTCAAAAGATATTCATTTTTGCACAGCTACTAAGTAACAAAACTAGGATCCAAATTTTGATATGACTACAGTTTTCATTTTTGTAAAAAAAAAAAATCAGACCAATATATGCACTACAAGACCATCAATGAAATTTCAAAATGAGAAATTGTTACCATGATCAGATTGATTTCAGAAATAGCATTTCAGATGAACGGACATAAATATCAGAAGAGAGAGAAAAAGATGAAGAGATTACATGGAAACTCTGTCCTCATAAAAATAAAATATTTGAATTGTGAAAGGTGCTATGATTAAGGCTTTAATTCAATACCTCCTGATCTGCCTTCCTCATTATCCTCATCCACCCTGCCTCCAAGGAAGCTGTAGTTACCTTGCACATCATTACCCATGCAGAGAAAGCTGGGGACTGACATCTCTCTCCAGTCCTGACATGAAGGAATATGGATGTGTCTGACATCTTCATTTCCAGGAATGAAGCCAAATAGCTTCTTTATACGCTGCAGGATGAGGAGCCGTGAATGCTGTGCTGCGGCTTGTTCAAAGAGCTCGCTCTCGTTGTGGAGGTGGTTGGTCCAGTAGCGATGCTGCAGGGCGGTGAGGGGTGAGCAGCACCTTGCCAAAGAGTAGGAGACTAGGGCAGTGATGGTTGCCAAGGTGATCAGAATCCAGCCCAGCATCTTCACATAATTATTCAAAAGGAAAACAGAAAGCATCAATATATTAAATATTCAAGAAACAACCATGATGGGAGGGATCCCCACAAATCTGAGAACTAAAATATGGGTAAGAAACTTGCTTTTCTAGGCTTTAACATATTGACAGGTGCTATTCATTTGATCCTGGGTGCAGCTGTGACACAGGATATAGGCCCAACCATTTTCAACTTGGCTTTGGGATTACAAAGGATTTTTGGATTGGGGGAATTTCCAAAGATTTTGAAGTGGATTCTAGATACTGTCCTGGAAGTGGCAAACATTATAACCTGCCTATTATCTTTGCATAAGGGACATAAACTACATTTTTTATTTTAGTTCAAGCATCAGGTGTAGGCTCATACATTTCTTTGGACACAATATATATTTAATAATGATAGTAATGAAAATTATGATATTATAGATAATAATGGTAGTTTTGTAAGCTACCAAGCTCAATGATGTGCCAACAAGTATTCACTGACATTTCGTCCCAAATTGCTATTTCCTTTTATTTTTTTGTGACCGAAGAAAGTCAATGAGCAGATTCTCATGTCCTTAAATGTGCAGCACCTATTGTTTTCCATTTCATCTTCCTCTCCTTTCAAATAATCATTTGCTGGCCAGTTTTATGGTTGGTTTTTGAAATATACTTTGAAAGGAAAGTCAACTAGATTTTATGTGCAACTATTTAGTTTCCACTTTTAAAGACTGACAAATAACAAATAGCTGTTGTCTATGCTTAGAATCCTTTTTTTTTCTTTTCATTATTCTTTTTTCATTATTTAGTGGTTGTTATGTAGAGTGAGACAGATGGGCTGCACACATTTAGGGAAGCCACCAGTATGCAGCCACAATCTAAATGGTGAAGGTCTATTCCACAGCTTGTGATTCACCAACAGGCCTGGAATTACCAGTGTGTGCACAGCAAGATAGCTTCACTCTAGGGAGGCTGAAGCCTACAAAGTGATACTCATCATGTCATGATTTAACTGATTAGAGGCCAGCATGGCCGAGGAAAGGTCATCTCAGATGCCCATTAATTCATCAACTATCATTTACCGAACCTGAGGTTGACCTCCCACCATGTGCTGTATATAATGCTTGGTTCCTGGGACACAGATCCAAATAATTTTAGATACATTCTCTCTTTCCAAATCTTTAAGCCTAAAGAGGGAGATAATGTGTAAAGCCAAGAAATACAGTAAAATACAATAGTTTTGATAGCTGCTGCTGCTGCTGCTAAGTTGTGTCAGTCATGTCCGACTCTGTGTGACCCCGTAAACAGCAGCCTACCAGGCTCTGCCATCCCTGGGATTCTCCAGGCAAGAACATTGGAGTGGGTTGCCATTTCCTTCTCCAATGCATGAAAGTGAAAAGTGAAAGGCATAAACACAAAGCCCAGGGAAGGACAATGAAGATACATGAACTTGTTTAAAGGAGAAGAGTGTCAGGGAACACTTCCCAGAAGAGATGATGCTCAAACTTAAATTGTTAAAGACAAGTTCACCAGATGCAAGAAGTTGAGAATTCCAATTAGGGAAGAAGTCAGAAGAAGAAGAAGCATGTGAAAAGTTGGGGAAACCCCAAGAAGTTGAATTCACAAGGTCATAGGAATCATGTGGGGAAATGGTCAGGGGCCACATATTGAAGGATATTGTATGTCAGGTCAAGAATCTGGATTTGTGCTTAGGCTGGTAGAAAAGCATTGAAGGACTTTATATGGGTGACAGTGCAGGGAACAGGGAGGTGGAGGGAGGGTTCATCATCCAATTTGCACTTAGAAGACTTTGGCATGGGTATAGAAGGTAGATTGAAATGGGATGAAATAAATGTCCAGAAGGTACAGGCAGAGACAGGATTTAAACTTAATTTCATCTGGTGGCCAACCCAGAATTATCCAACAAAGATAGTACATATTCCTCAAATGAGATTGGAGTTTGCAGTAACTGTAGAAGGTGGGAGGACAAATAGAAACAGCCCCTGGTCCTTGGCTAGCTTGATCAGCCATTTATTAGCTCTATAAACTTATGAAAGTTATAAACTCTTTGAGTTTCAATTTCCTCATCTGTAAAATGGAGTTGATTTACCTACCTCTGAAGATTATGAAAATTAAAGATATAACATATTTGTACACTATAGGCTAAGCATCTCAATAAATATTAGTGGTCAATAAATATCACTTAGTTGCGTCCAACCCTGCGACTCCATGGACTGTAGCCCACCAGGCTCCTCTGTGTATGGAATACTCCAGGTGAGAATACTGGAGTGGGTTGCCATTCCCTTCTCCAAGGGATATTCCCAACCCAGGGATCGAACCCTGGCCTCCTGCATCACAGGCAGATTCTTTACCGTCTGAGCCACCAAGGAAGACCAAATATTGGTGGTGGTGTCACTAAATCAAAAAATCCACTTGCTCATGGTACTCAGAGCTATAAAACTCTTTTCACAGAAGTCTGTGTATCATTAGACAAGATGTTTTATTTTGACCTTAAGAACACCTTACCATTGTGTATTACACCTTAGTTTTTTAAAGCAAGAACATTTTTTAAGATCAAAATTGTCCCATTGATTTTTTCACTTTTCACAGCTCCTCTGCTTGACATTTAAGGCCAGTATAAATAGGTTGAGACAAATCCTTTCTTAATAAGATTTCTAATTTTGTTTCAATTGGTCCATATGTTAACACTTCAATATTATTGTGTTGACAGTAATTTTCTCAACTAAATATCGTCAGCACTTTTAAATTTCAATAACTGAAAAGTGATAGGTCAAGAAAGGCCTTTGCAATAAGTAGTTTAAAAGTTAATGTGTTTTTCTCAATATTCTATAATAACCTATATGGGAAAAGAATCTGAAAAATAATAAAAGGATAAGATATATGGGTATGTATAACTGAATCACTTTGTTGTATACCTGAAACTAACACAACATTGTAAATCAACTATGCTGCAATATAAAATAAAAAGTAAATGAAAAAACATTAATGTGTTCTTATGGCATTGCAGTGATTTGAAATGTGTTTTTCTCCCAAATTCCTGGGAGAAACTGATAAAAGCCAATGATTCTTTCTGTACTGACAAAAATATACTTTTACATCTTTAGATTTAACCTATAAACCTAGTAGGTTTAGGCCTTCCCCTCACTTGACTCCACTCCCTCCCACAAACTTATCTAATGACACTAAATTTAGAACAATCATCAGTGTTTATTTTTTAATTATAATTAAGCCTCCTGTAATTTTAGATGTGATTTAAATATATAAGAATGCATATTTAAGAATATACATGCAGAAAGATGGGATTTAGTAATAATATTTTTAATAACAATATCTAAAATTCCTTGTTGAAGAAAAGTTATGACCAACCTAGACAGCATATTAAAAAGCAGAGACATTACTTTGCTGACAAAGGTCCATCTAATCAAAGCTATGGTTTTTTCCAGTAGTCATGTATGGATGTGAGAGTTGGACCATAAAGAAAGCTGAATGCCAAAGAATTCATGCTTTTGAACTGTGGTATTGATGAAGACTGTTGAGAGTCCCTTGGACTGCAAGGAGATCAAACAAGCCCATCTTAAAGGAAATCGTCCTGAATATTCATTGGAAGGACTGATGCTGAAGCTGAAACTCCAATACTTTGGCCACCTAATGTGAAGAACTGACTTATTGGAAAAGACCCTGATACTGGGAAAGATTGAAGGCAGGAAGAGAAGGGGATGACAGAGGATGAGATGGTTGGATGGCATCACTGACTCAATGGACACAAGTTTGAGCAATCTCTGGGTGTTGGTGATGGACAGGAAAGCCTGGTATGCTGCAGTCCATGGGGTCGCAAAGAGTCAGACACAACTGAGTGACTTAACCCAACTGAAAGTTCCTTGTTTTTAATATATAATAGGTTCTGAACACAGTACTGAGTGCTTTAGATGTATTAACTTGTTTATTACTCACTCCAACCCTATATGACAGATTATATCAATAATAGCTCCATTTTACAGCTGAGAAAAGTGAAGCATGGATAAATTAGATAACTTGCTTAAGGTTTTGCAGGTTAATACATGGTAAAGCAAGCCTCAAATGCAAGTCTGCTGACCCAAAGCCCATCCTAACCATATTTATGCAGCCGCTCAGTAGAAATCTAACTGATGAGTGGCATCCAGTTTGTGTTCTATAATCAGACAATATGAGAAGCAGCAGGAATGGAAAATGTTTCCAGTGATTGTAGTTAATATGAGATTGCTGTTGTTCAGTGGCTAAGTCCTATTAAGGTCTTTTGCAACCCCATGGACTACAGCCCGCCAGGCTCCTCTGTCCTTGGGACTTCCCAGGCAAGAACTGGAGTGGGCTGCCATGTCCTCCTCCAGGCGATCTCCCCTATCCAGGGATCAAACACGCACCTCCTGCCCTGCAGGCAGATTCCTTACCACGGAGCCACCAGGGAAGCCCCAGTTAATACGGGATAGCAAAGCTGAAAGTAAAAAGCCAGAACTTACCTGTGACTGGTATCTATGTAGCAGCGCTACTTCGTCTCTGACCAGGGCCATATTGGATGGAACTGATCTGCAGCATGGAAACCCGGCTAGGATCTCTTGCCGTTCGCCCGCACTGATGTTGTCAAACGCTCGGTAATGGTCCACAGACGCGAATTCACTTGCCGCACATTCGTAGTACGTGCCCGTCAGCAGGGTCACCGCCAGCCACGTTAATGGAGCAACAAGTGCCCTTCCGGTGATGCCGAAGAAGTGAAGGCAAGCCAGCCTGCGCTCCAGGAGGCTGATCTTCCGGAGTTGAGGGACGCAGCTGCAGCAGTACTCACTGGTGATTGTCCACGTCTGGCTTCTCAGAGCAAAGCCGGCACCCAGAAGGATTAAGGCAGGAATGACCAGAAAAGCAGAACCGTAGTAGACATTTTTCCCAGCCTGACAGGGACAACTGAATGTGAAAGAGGAGAAGAGCTGTTGCCCACCGATGGTCAAAGCAGCAATTAGAGTGTTGATAAAGGCTCCACTTCTCTGCAGAGAGGATACAATGTCACGGAGAGCTGGGCTCATCTTGGGAAGCTCCTTCACAAATCAGCTCTCGCCCTTTCTGATCATTAGCCTCACCAGCTATAACCATTTTATGGGATCTTACTGGTTTAACTGGTTGTGTCAGGCAATCCAACATCCTTACATGTTTAAAGGATTCTAGCATCTTTCCTTCTGTACTTGGTGAATCCTGAGCTAATAAATGAACTTCAGAGTACAGCCCGAGGGACCTGAGGGAGAGATTCATCTGGCTTGAGTGACAGGGGAAACTTCTACAGTATCTCTAAAAAGAGGATGGACTGATTGCAAAGCAAGCTGCTGCCATCTTTCTATGTGCTCCTTTGTGTGATGCAAAATGCCTAGCTCCAGCAAATACAGTATTGAAGAAAATCAGAACATTCTTACCCTTGTACTGGTCCAAGATTTTGTTACCATAAAATTACAGCATAAAGGATCGTGGAAGTTATCTAACACTAGAGCAATCCAAATTTAGGGCTATCTGAAGCATCCATAATTTCAGAGTTCTCCCATATAGATTCCAAAAGGTTTCCCAAAAGAGATGAGTAAGACCTGGGTACCTCTAAAGTCAAATCACAACAAAAACATTCTACCTTTGCATAAAAATATGTTTGGTTGACAGAACATAATATAACAATGTATTGTCTTAAAATTAAGTTGCAAATTTGTTAATATGGTATCATTTGTTATGTGAAAATATATTTGCATAACTAATAAAGTTATGTACATATAGATAAGAAATTATATGACCACATATAAAATGTCTATATTTAATCATCAAATGCGTTTTGTTTAAAGAGTGGCTTTTTAAAACCATATTGCTTTGACTTATAAAAATGAATAAGATACAAATTTCTCTTCTTAAACAAATCTCAGCTGGCCTTGGTTAAATATATCATCAGTGAATTGAAACATAATGCTGAGGAATTGACCCAAAGTGCAGTATAAGAAGACAAAGAAATAAAAGAGTATATTTTTAAAAGGAGTTAAAGGGAATAGAAAACAGATTAAGCAACTCCATGACCTGTCTAATAGAAGTTCTGGAGGGAAAAATGAAGGAATAGAGAATATTTGAAGAGAAATAACTGAGAATTTTGCAGAATCAAAGGAAGTTCTCACATCAGGAAATGTTATATATTTTAAATAGTTTCACTAAAAATAAATTCACACAGGACACATCATACTAAAGCTGCACAGTGTGAAAAACAGAAAGTCTTAAAAGCTGTCAAAAATAAAAGACAGATAACCCACCAAAAAGTGGCAATATATTGACAGCACGCTTCTCATCAGTAATGATAGAGACCAGAAGACAATATCTTCAGAGTTCTTGGTACCAGCTAAACCATCATTTGAGATAGAGCAAAATAAAGATAACACACAGAGACTAAGGGAATTTACCACCCATAGAACCTCATTAAGAGGATTATTAAAGGATATGTTTCAGCCAAGAGAAAAACAAACTCTAAGGAAAGACATAGGAGCTAAAAATGATGATGAGTACAAGTATATTTTTTAAGTTCCTTTATTTATTAGTTATTTCTATAAATAACTACATTTTATTTCAAAAGATACAAATAAGATAATCCATGGTTATAGCAAGATATCACTACCTATCTGATAGAACAGCAAAAATTAAAAAGGTACTCCATACCAAATGTTGGTAAGGATTGTAGAGCAACTAACTCATATACACTCATGTTAGGAATGTAAAATGAAGCAATCACTTTTGAAAATTGTCAGTTTCCTTAAAAGTTACCTGTGTATACCTGCCATACAACATAATTCACTTCCTAGTTATTTACTCAAGAGAAATGAAAGCGTATGTCCACACGAAAACCTGTACATGAATGACACAAGCTTTATTAGCTTGTATTTTTTATAGCTTTATATAGCTGCAAACTGGGAACAACACAGAAGCTATCCATAAACTGTTCTATATCCATGTAAGGGAAAGCTACTCAGAAAATATGAGGAATAAGCTATTGATATATACAATAACAAGAATGAATTAAAAATAATTTTCTAAAGGGAAGAATCCAGGCAAAAGAATACATAATGTATGACATTTATATAAAATTCTTAAAAGTGTTAATTAATCTCTACTGATAGAAAACAAACTAGTGCTCACCTAGAGAGTGGTGGAGAAGAAATAAGAAGAGAGGGATTGCCAGGGGCATGGGAAGACTTGTGTGGGAATGTATAAATTTGGACCATGATTTTAATTTATGGAGGTGACTGAGTGATGACAGAGAGGCCAAAGCCATCAAAAGGAAAATTTATCACTTACATTTATCAAGAGAAAGGGGCATGCCAGTCCATGCAGGGCCACTTGGGGAAGAACCAGGCTGGGTTGGAGGCAGAAAAGGAGGGGAAGCCGAAGCTAGAGCGTTCCCTGGGGTTTCTGTGGGAAAGTCAAGGCAGGTGAAAGGAAAGAGCTTAGAAATGGCTAATTTAAATTATTCTGGTGGGCTTCAGGGCATGGGGGATGTTGCTATTTGTCTGATATCTGGTCCTGGGTTGATTAAGAGCAGAAGAAATATTGGCTTTGTGAATGAGAGTTAGATAAGAAAGTGGGTCAGTGTACGGACTCTGGGTCACACAGGAGATATAAACTATTTAGCTGTTAAATTGGCTGTGCAGTTAATGGATGCAAATTAGACCAAGAATCAAAGAAAACACAGTTATAAAACAGGAGAGATGGATATATTAATTATGGTGATAAATTTGATGGCTTCAGGGGTGTATATATATGTCAAAACTCATCAAACTGTAAAATCACTTAACGTCTTAATAAAGCAGTAAAAGTCTTAAGTATAATTATTAAACAATAGAAACACAGTGCATAGACCACTCACAAAAAAGAGGAAAATAAAAAGAGAATAATGATAGGAAAAGAAATAGTAAACAGAGGAAAAAGGATGGTAAACAGAAAACACAAAATAATGGTAGAAATGAGACCAAACACATCAATAATCACACATACAACATCTTAAAATAGCTAACAATTATTGAGGGCTCACTACATGCCAGGTAAGGGCACTATCTTATTTAATTTCCATAATAATCCTATGATGAGGTATTAATGTTATCCTCAGCTTCTTTACAGATGAGAAAAGTGTCATGTGGAGAGATAAAGGAAACTGCACACGGCCACGCAGAGATGAGGGAAAGGGCCGGGCCCAGCACTCCAGTGGTTTGGCACATGATTTAACTACCACACCGGGGCTGGTGTAAATGCACCTACATATATCAAACAATAAGAGTCATGCCACTTACAAGTGACACAGCTAAAACACACAAAGCTTGAAAACTAAAGGTATGAAATGTATACCCTTGGAAAGAATAACATTAATATAAGGCAAAAGCGAGCTAAAGGCCAAAAAGTGTCAGAAGGGCTAATTTTGAAGACTCAATCATTATGAGATATGACAGTCATCAACTTGTCTATGAATGTCTTATTGAAATATATAAAGCAAAAATATCAAATTATAAGGAGAAATTCTTATAATCAAACAGACACATATTAGAAATGATCAAGGAAACATTAGGAGATAAACATTGAAAGGATATAAAAGATATGGAAGAACAAAATTAGCAAGCTTTGCCTAACATATAGTATTCCATACCCTAAAAATAGAGAATGCGCTATTTTTATAAGTTCTCTATAAATCACTTGCTAAAACATACTGATCGTATACAAGATCACAAAGGAAATTTCAGCGTTAATGTCTAATAACAAGGAAACAGATTGAGAAACCCTGGTAATAGAATGCTCTAGAGTAGAAGTTGGCAACCTATACATAATTGAGGGAACAAACTGACCCACTGCCTGCTTTGTAAGCCTTTTAAACCAAGAATAATTTTTTAAAATGGTTTGAATTTTTTTTCAATATTTTGTGACATGTGAAAATTACATGAAATCCAAATCTGAGTGTTTATAAAGTTTTATTAGCACGTATCTGCACTGGTTCCTAATTGGCTAACTGCTTTCCCACCACCTGAGCAGAGTTGACTAGTTTGTGACAAGAGTCTGTGTGGCCTTAAAACTGAAAATATTTACTATCCAGCCCTTTATAGAAAAAGTTTGTGTATCATCATTCGCCTCCCACCAAGTACACAGGCTTTTTCTGTTTTTCTCTGGATCTTTCATCTAGAACCCAGAATTGCCCCCCAAACTGGGCCCTGCAACATATTGTCAGCATACCTTCTGAGATTTTGTGAGTTAACCTCTAAAATATTTCGCTCTAACGTAAGTAGCATATGATCAGTGGAAATAAAAAAAGACATTGCTGATTTGGAGTCAGCGGATTTAGTGCAAATTCTTCTTTGTTGTCCTCTTTCCAGCTTGTTGTCATTCAGTCACTCAGTCCTGTCTGACTCTTTGTGACCCCATGGACTGCAGCACACTAGGCTTCCCTGTCCATCACCAACTCCTGGAGCTCGCTCAAACTCATGTCCATTGAGTCGATGATGCCATCCAACCATCTCATTCTCTGTCGTCCCCTTCATCTCCGGCCTTTGATCTTTCCCAGCATCAGGGTCTTTTCTAATGAGTCAGCTCTTCGCATCAGGTGTTCAAAATATTGGAGCTTCAACTTCAGTATCAGCTAACCTTGAACACATTTCTTAACTCTCTAGCTAACCTTCAACAAATTTCTTAAGCTCTGACTTTTAGATTTCTATCCTTTAAAATGGTCATGATTATAGTACTGAATACTTCAACGGTGTAATTAAATTAAAATGAGACCAGATGGCTTAGTGGTAAAGAATCCACTTGCCAATGCAGGAAACACAGGAGATGTGAGCTCAGTTTTTAGGTTGGAAGATCCCCTGGAGAAGGAAATGGCAACCCACTCCAGTATTCTTGCCTGGGAAATCCCAAGGACAGAGGAGTCTGGCGGGCTATAATCCATGGGGTCACAAGAGTCAGACATGACTTAGTGATAACCACCACTATCAAAGAAAATGAAAAACATGTTGTAAACTCTACAGTTTATATAAACATAAGATGTTATGAAAATCTGCTACTGAAAAGTCCCACACTTCACAACCCAGCAAAACTGCTTTTCTTGATAATGGTATCCTGGAACAAAAGCACTAATAGAAACATCTTAAATATTGCAGCATTCCATTTGATATATCACCTACAAAAATCATCTACAGTAATTCATGTTTGTATAGTACATTATAATGGAGAAGGAAATGGCAACCCACTCCAATATTCTTGCCTGAAGAATCCCATGGATAGAGGAGCCTGGTAGGCTACAGTCCATGGGGTCTCCAAGAGTCGGTTTATAGCACACATCATATCTTTGATACAATTCTTCTGTGAGGTGGGCACTGTTATTGCCATTTTCCAGATGTGAAAACAGATCCAAATAGCAATAAAATGGCTTGCCCATGGTGGCCCAACCAGTAAATGGTAGAAAGACAGCTAAGCCTGAGCCTTCCAAAGCTCCCTAGGCTCTTTGAACTACATCACACTGTTCTCCAAAGTAGTCAGTAATCCGTCACTATATAGCAAGAATTTTCCAGAAAACATAAGGCTAATCGACTCAGGCTGTAAGAAATAAGAAATTACTTTCTCAAATTGAATTTTATGCTTCTATTTCTGGAATAGTTTTGATCCTCTGAACCCTGCAGTTGAGATGAGAGAGTTTCTTGTTTTTAACTTGAAATATCTCTACTTCTGCATAAATAAAACAGCCTTCTGCATAAAATAAAATAGCTAATATATTAGGTACTTTCAAAAGAAAGCTAAGGGCTTGCTTTCTCTGCCAGAATCATTATACATTATTAAACTGTAGAACATGCATTTTGGGCAACAGTTTTGTAAGAAAATATTATCAACCAAATTCTATCACACCTTAAATGGCTGCTTATGAGAAAGAAAAAGTTACCAAATTTGAATTTGTAATCACGCTAAGTGGGGATCTTTCATACTTATTATTTGGGGGATAAAGTGAAACCCGTTAGAGTTGTCAATTAGGTTTGAATCCAGGATTTAGTGTCTATAAATTGCTGATCCTTTCTCGAATTCACACAACAATCAATACAAAGACTGAATAATGCTGACATTTAGATCTATCTTGAATTGTGAAGGTTTCTGTTTGTGATTTTAAAACAATGCCTTGGCATGAGAACAAAACACCACTCTTCTACTCCCTTGGGCCAAAGAATTTTCAGTAGCTGGTGCTTCTGGTCTGACTTTTCACTCTCAGCTTTTATGCCTTTAGTTTACAACTCGTCCCCACAAGTGAAGAAGTATTTGATCGCTGGCACTGTACTCGGCTGTAAGACAGTCCTGTTTACGGTTCTCTTCCTCCCCAGCTCAGCAGACAGCAAAAGCAGTAGCGTGCAGAAGTAGCACCCGTGTCTCAGAGCAAGGAGGAACTTACAGAAGCAACGCGAAAGGACAAAGATCGGTGAACTTTCTTCACCTGCCAGGCACAATGTCTCGTCCTGCACACAGAAGACCAGAATACCATAAAATAGTAAGATCTCTTTATAAATATGTTCTCAAAGAGATTTTTTTTTCCTGCTCTAGAGAAAATGTTTTCCCAAGTGATTTCTGAATTATTTTGAAAGGTGACGCTATTAAGTAGATTTTTTCAGTGGAGCACAGTGTTTTGTGGAGAGAAATATAGCTGATACTTCTGGAAATAGTTACAATGATCTTTTACATACTGTGAGAGAATAATCAATTCTTTATACATATTTTAAAGTCTTCTTTTCTGACTAATTATATCTACAGAAGTGTCAAATTTTTCTTCTATCTCTAAGAGTAAAAGTAAAAAAGATTAAGCAGTTCTTTGTATTTCATACTTCTAATTGGTTGTATTTCATACTTCATGAAATAAGAAATGAAATATATACAAAATAGGTGATTATATGTTACATTAAGTAGGAATAAGTCATTAAAAACTCAATACTAAAAAGATTGCCTTTAAAATATATTTTCTAGTCTTAAATATGATTATTATTGTGACTTATTGTAGGCTCTTATCTTTCCTGTGTATTCCAAGTTCAGAGTTATTTTTAAAACTTAACTATTTGAGGATTAGATTTGGGTGTTGTTCTTTAACTCTCTTTTATTAGAAGCATTCAGAAGTTACAGATGTGAAAATTCATCATTAAGTTTAAAACTCTTAATTATTTCAGCAGACTCAAGGGCATTGCATAAAAGTAAGTAACTCTGGGCACTAAAACGAAAAAGATTGCCTTTAAGATATATTTTCTAGTCTTAAATATGATTATTATTGTGACTTATTGTGGGCTCTTATCTTTCCTGTATATTCCAAGTTCAGAGTTATTTTTAAAACTTAACTATTTGAGGATTAGATTTGGGTAAGTGTTGTTCTTTAACTCTCTTTTATTAGAAGCATTCAGAAGTTACAGATGTGAAAATTCATCATTAAGTTTAAAATTTTTAATTATTTCAGCAGACTCAAGGGCATTGCATAAAAGTAAGTAACTCTGGGCATGGATACTTAGAATTGTATGACTAACCCATGCAAACTCCAGTTGGAAATGGCTGCAGATGCCAGTCTGGAATCTTCATTTTTTTATGGGATTCCTCAAATGCTGAAAAAATATTGTATGTGCTTCATATTGCACCTAAGTCACTTAATTTATACATCAGTTAAAACACATTCTTATCTTGATATATCCAAAACCTCCTGAAATAATTAATGGTGTTCTATTTTTTATGTAAAAAAATTATTGCTTTTTATGTTTTTAAAACTGTGACAATAAATTTATGTTGATTTCTCTTGTGATAAATCTGAGACCCTTCTGGACATGTTTTCAAGATACAGTTTTTGACCATGAAACAAAATGAAGAACACTGGCCTTTATGGGTACCGAGCTTAAAACTCAGCTAGAAATAAAACATAGTTAGTATCCACCCCCCAGAGAGAGAGAGAGGAAAGAAAAGAAAATGCCTCTTTTTTTTTTTTTCCCAGTTTAGCCTTAATTATAAACGGGCACAATGTTGGAGCTATGGCACATAGGTAGGTAAAATTTTATCTCCTTTTCTCTGTTTTTCAAATTCTTTTGTTTTACTGCTGGCAGCCAACAGCCACATTCGTTCATTTCTCTCACCCCTTCAACGTTGCTTATCCTTACACTGTCATATTGGTTTTTAACAGTCATTTATCTTCTGCTGTAGCTCCTTATATGTAAGGCAGATATTTTGTGTATAATGTACAGGCAATTCTTGTGATTTATGATTAGGTTCTTGGAAGGTTTAAATAAGAATAGAATTAAAACTGAATACATGATGACCCTTCAGTGGTTTGCTTAACAAATATTTTTGTTTAAATCACATGCTTTACATCATTGGTTTCCTACTAGAAATATTAATGTACTCATTTTTTTCCTATACCTGAATTGTATACATTAGTGTCTAATGTCAATTGATGTATTTAGTGTATACTCTACACATGTTTATGACATTTTGATTTAGCTTTTCAACAGCAGTTATGTCCCTATGTACCATCTACTATTTAGATTCTTTTGATTTAAAATTTATCGAGTTATAATAAATATTCTACCCAATTAAAGAAACCTATTTATCATGATATAAACCTATACATAAGAGAATGGACGTTGGTGGTATTGGGTCAATTTTGGAAGTATTTGGATCAATATCATATAACATTTCAAAGAAGTCACTTGGTTGAATAAACTATTTTATTGGTTTTCTGAGTCATTTCTACTCCTTGTTTAAGAAAAAGTAATTGAATACATATCATCAGGCCTGATCTTTCCCTCCATGTTGCGCTACACAAGATACCTGAGCCTGCAGATAAAAACACCTCTTCTAACCTGGAACCCAGATTTGATCTTTCATGAAAATATAAGATTATGCACAAAATAAGATTATTTTTGACAATGGTAGCCCTTCCTACCTCCCTCTCCCACTCATCTCTCTACTCCAGGCAGTGCCTTCTTTTGTGCATCTCAAAGAAAATTGCTATGACAGAGGGGAGCCTGCAATCTTGGACTCCACCCGGGCTCTGCCAATCATGGCTAGCTGGGCGAGTAACTCATTCCTCATGAGGCCTCAGTCCCTCCTCTGAAAGATTGAGGGAATTGTTGTAAATTATCTCAGATATCCTCTTCTATTTCTTTGTCTTCAATAGCAGATGCAAAACAAAGAAACTTTTTTTTTAATTGGAGGATAATTGCTTTACAATGATGTATTGGTTTCTGCCATACAACAATGCGAGTCAGTCATAATTATACATATATCCCCCCTCTCTTGAGCCTACCTCCCATCCCCCATCCACCCCTCTAGGTCATCACAGAGAACCCGGCTGCGGCCCCTGTGTTATACATCAGCTTCCCAGCAGCTATCTTTTTAACACATGATAGTGTATATATGGGGATTCCCTGGTAGATCAGCTGTAGAATCCGCCTGTAATGCAGCAGACTCTGGTTCGATTCCTGGGTTGGGAAGCTCCCCTGGAGAAGGGATAGGCTCCTACTCCAGTGTTCTCGGGTTTCCCTTGTGGCTCAGTTGGTAAAGAATCTGCCTGAATGCGGGAGACCTGGTTTCTATCCCTGGCTTGGGAAGATTCCCCTGGAGGAGGCATGGCAACCCCCTTCAGTATTCTTGACTTTCTTAATTCATCGCACCCTCTCCTTCCTCCACTGTGTTCACAAGTCTGTTCTCTATGTCTGTGTCTCCAATCCTTCCACGCAAATAGGTTCATCAGTACAATTTTTCTAGATTCCATATATATGTGTTAATATACAATATTTGTTTCTCTCTTTTTGACTTACTTCACCCTGTATAACAGGCTCTGGGTTCATCCAGCTCACTACAACTGACTCAAATTCATTCCTTTTTATGGCTGAATAATATTCCGTTGTATATCCTTACCACATCTTATTTATCCATTCATCTTTTGATGGATATCTCGGTTGCTTCTATGTCCTACCTGTTGTGAATAGTTCTGCAGTGAACCAAAGAGACTTTTTAAAAGGGGTTGATTGAACTTTGTGTTTTCTTTTTTCAATATTTTCAACATATCTTTGGTAAACTAAACCCAATTTATTCTCAGTTTTACTTTTGATTTTTAATGTATTCTGAAAAATATTACATATTTTAGAAATCTATAACAAAAGTGCAAATTCTCCTTTTTTCTCTAAGTATAAAGAAAAACTCCAAATTTGTTGCTATAGTTTGGGTTCAGCCTGATGGTCTCCTTAGCAGATCTGAAACCTATTAGGGATTGTGCAGGCTCATGAGACATCTCACCCAATTTTTCCTTCCAAGTGAAAACATGGCCAAAATATATCAAAGGCCATTCTAGAACAATAAGAATTTATATTAGCAATTAGTATTTAAGAAAACTTCCTCCATGAAAACGTATTGTAAGTTATATAAGCAAATGCATAGAAAGATGTTCTCATGTTAAGAAATTTATTTCACAGCTCTTTTCCCCCAGCAATGTATCCAAATATGGGTACAATTTGTTCTCAAAAGTGAAAATTATTGCAGTCATCAGACACAACTGAACACACACACTTAATGGGGAAGGGGATGGAAGAAAGGAACGGATGATCTCAAAGGCTGCTTCTGGCTAGAAAATTTTGTAAAAAGGACCAGTAGTATATTTCCCATAACTTCGCCAATAACATGAAGCTATCTCTTTTTCCCCAGAATAAAGATCTCTTTGTCCTCACCTATGGAGCTCTGGTTGCCCAACTCTGTAAAGATTATGAAAAAGATGAAGATGTGAATAAATATTTAGATACAATGTGAGTAGAAGTCTTTCATTCTTGTGGAATGTGGTTGGTCTTCCTCTTTTGACTTCTCTTGCTCCATTTTAACTGCTCTTCTATTTAAACAAATCCCATCTAGAGAGGAACATAATTTCTAATAGCTGCCATTTGGGTTGCCATAAGCCTAAAGCAATAAAAAGGGGCTTTTATTCCATGAATATCAATCATACAACGTTTTCTTTTTCATTAGAAATCATTACTTTGCTAGTGATCTGTAAGCAAAAGACATGGTAAAACTGAAATTGCTCTTTAAAGAATATGGTGGGTCATCACATTTCTTTTCAAGTCTTCTGTTCTAGCATAATTTCTATCAATGTAAATATGTGTTTATGTAAGCATAGACTATGGAAGGATCTGTGAAAAAACTGCTAATAATAGTTGCCTGAGAGAACTGGAGAAGGGGGGCAGGAGATTATGGGTGGAAGGGAGATTTACTGTTTCTTACGTAGGGTTTTTATCACCTGAACACTTTTAACATTACTCAGTTTTACTTAAAAACATATTAAATAAAGAACTCATTCCTTCCCTTTAAAATAAAAGTCCATTCTCCTTTATTAATAGACATTTCTCCTACATTAATTCAGCCTTTAATTTTCAGAACAATTATATGATTATTATATTACTGCTTAACAATAAAACATCTATAAACATACTTGAATCTCTTAATCTTGGATCCTTAAAAGGTTTCTAACGGAGCAATGACTGGAAAATTTGCACTAGTTAGAAGGTTTCATTAGAAAGTTTGAAGAGGAAATTTAGTGTAGATGAGTATTTTGGACCTCTTTTAAAATGCTCATTATATTTTTTGATTGAAATACAGAAAAAAGACAACATTGAGAAAAGCTTGAAAGATCTTTTTGTGAACTCTTGCTTTCCTCCCTTTCTATATGCTTATCCTTTTTCATCAGAAAGTTCTTTTTCATTGTTCTAAATTCTATTCATTTTGGTCCACATATTCTTTTAAAAAATTTCTTCTTAATTAGTTAGGAGCACTGTCTGTAGCAGTGATAGCTTTTTAAGCTATTTTATATTTAGGTCACTCTTAAACACATGATAAAATATTTTCAGAAGTCAGATTATTTAACTTGTTAAATTTCCATTGTTTTGTAGAACAACAGCATAAAATGAAGACATTTATTTACTTGACCCGTCCCCCAAAAAATACCTATGGGTAGCTACTTGGGTGCATATTTTAATAAACACAAATGAAATATTAGTTAAAGAATGCATTTTGAGAGGCTGTAGAAAGGCCTTGCCATAAGAAAAACAATAATCTGCATTTGGATTTCTTTAATAGCTTCTGCTGAGAGCATCTTACATTTTTAATTTGATATATAAAATATCTGCTTTGAAGAAATACACCCTTTGACCAAAGCAAGATATATACTGCACTGACTACAACATTCTGCCTTTCCATTACCTGTCCTAGTAGCTGAGCCTGCAGATATGCATAATATAGAAAACACTGGAAACATTTTTTCTAAAATCCTGGTACAACTATTTCTATAGTTTCTGTTCTTTATAAGTCTTTTCAATGTGAACTTCCTGGCTAGAATCACAAAGCATTTTTCTTGGAAGGCAAGTAAGCTAAATTGAATATTTCTTTCTACTCAGAAATATAAACAGATAACCTCATAGATTTAGTAAATCACTTTGACATCAAATCCACCTCCCTCTCCCAGTTGACTGGTCACTGAACTTTCACTCCCACCCTTTTCAGACCCTATGGAACAAATATAGCCCCATACAGACTGTGATGTCTTTTAACTTGTTAAGCTTTCTGCTGTCCTGTTCAAATTGTTTCACTAGTCCATGGACATGTGGCTGTGACATTAAAAGACCAATTTTGTGCCAGTTGGTAAGCAAAAACAGTCTTCTTTCATTTCCGCTGTTAAGGTCATAATTCCTCAAGTAGGTTGAAAGTTTTAGGTCTATCTTGTTGAATCTGTCTGCTCGGATATATTATCACATCTCAATAAAATGCTTGCAGAATTGTGCTTTGGATACCAATCAAGCCATCTGCTGTGACATAGAGTGAATACATAATACAAATACCTTCTCCCAAGTCCCATACATTTACTTTCCCTAAAATTTTTTTTAAAAAAGGAACTTTTGAACTTTTCTTTTTTTGTTATTTTCACTAAACTTCAGTCTTCCAGCTTCAGTGTAGTTGAGAACTAAATGGCACAAAAGAAATTATCTCTCCATTCCCTTCTTCCTCTTCTTCCAGAACCGATCCCAGACATACCTGCTCTCCTACCATCGTAACTATGCTAAGAAAAGAATGAGCATCTAGGTACCACACCTGTAGCAGACAAGTCAGCTAGAGCCTCATTCTGTTTCTGATAATGGCCAATGATGAGAAAGCTAGCTGCCAATGAGACACATTAGGCTGCAAACACCAACCTCTTTTAATTTTAATTTACACCGTCAAGTTTGGGTCAGCCTTCACTCAGACTTTTTTGCTTAAAAGAGCCTAGTTAAAATTTCCTGGATGAGTTGTGCCCTATGAGTCATGTTACAAGGAACCCCTTGCCAAATTGCCATTTGACTTGTCAAGCTTGGTTTACTTTATCATTTTATTTACAAACATCCTAACAGATGACGCTAAAACATAGAGGGACTTCACTAATGTCTCAAATATTGTTTTCAGAGCACATTCTTTCCCTTCCTCCACAGGGGATACGGTATTGGAACACGGCTGGTAGAGGACTTTTTGGCTCGATCATGTGTGAGAAGATGTCACAGTTATTCAGAAATTGCAGACATAATTGCCCAGGTAAGTGCATTTTAGCTTTGGCAGTGTGTTTTGAAAAATTTTGATTGGTCCTGTTTGGTGGTTTTCTTCTCCAGTTGAATGGGTTTCAACTGTATTTGTTATAGGTGCTAAGAGAAGGAATTCTGATCAAAAAGCATTTTATTTCTGCATAGAGATAAAGCTACTGTGAACAGAGATAAATGCTTCTAGGCTTTTAAACATCTATTGATTTTTCTGACCACATATGTGGTGTATACGTCCCACACTGGGACAAGTGTTTTGAGAAGGTAAACAGAAAGGCAATGTAAAAGGCAGCCTTCTAACACGTATAAGGGTGTGGAGAAGGTGATGGCAACCCACTCCAGTATTCTTGCCTGGAGAATCCCATGGACAGAGAAGCCTGATAGGCTATGGTACATCAGATCACAAAGAGTCGGACATGAGTGAAGCGACTTAACATGCACATAACACATATGCTCCAAATTAATTTCTTTGTATAATCATTTTCAGCACATGGAGGTAACCTTTGGTTAGCTCAGGGAATATTGGTATAGTCATTTTGTTCCCAGAACAATGTTTTCCCCAGAGGAAAAAATGAGCTTCCTGTAAATGCATGTGCTCTAAGAGCTTTCATAATATATAAGAAATAACTTTGAATTATCCAGCACAAGCTCAGATTTCTTGGATATAAGATTAGGAAATGAATCCTTAGCCAGAATTCATTTAATCTGCAGGCCTTATGGTTATTAACCTGGTGCTGTCTGTGGAAGCCCTAGAAAGCAGGCATGGATGTGAGATATGGATGGAGTCAGTAAGCTGCCCCCGGTTCACACAACTGACCAGTTAAGTCAGTATCATTTTCCTTTTCTCTCGTTCTTAATATAATTATACATTGTCATACTGACTCTTCATCTAAGTGGTGATAAGGGTTTGACATAGTGCTTTGTGATTCTATGTGCAATTTTACATACTTTTTGTCTTTCATTCTTAAAGTATCTCTGTGAAGTAGACAGGGTAGAAGTTATTATCCTCATTTTCCAGTTAAGAAATCTGAGCTCCAGAAAGAATATGATAAACACTGAATATGGTGTGGTAATCTTTCAGTTGTGTCCGACTCTTTGTGACCCCATGAACTGTAGCCCGCCAGGCTCCTCCGTTCATGGGATTTTCCAGAAAAGAATACTGGAGTGGGTTGCCATTTCCTTCTCCAAAAACTGAATATAGTATATGTGAAAAAAAATTATACAACAAAAACCATAACCAAATGAAAGATGTTTTCACATATTGTTATTATTACTTTCATTATTTTGTGGCTAGTGAATCATGTAGTTGAAATTAAAATCCAGGTCTTCCAGTCCTAGTGTAGTCGGTTTATTATACCACTAAACAGGTTAAAAAAATTCTCTTTCCCTATTTGCAGATGGTAACTAAGATACTGAAGCAGTAATTTGAAAAATGAAATAACTTTTCACTAAATCACTGCTATGGGCAATACTACAAGAATACTAGCTGTTTTAATAGAAAGTAAATACTTGAAATGAATAAATGTACATGGTTGTATTCTATTTCTGTAAAAAAAAAATGCCATTTGGATTTTGATAAGGATTGCATTGCATCATTAGATCACTTGGTAGTATGGACATTTTAACAATAGCAAGTCTTCCAATCCATGAATATTAAATGTAATTCTATTTTTTGTTTTATTTAATTTTTGTCTTATTTAATTTTTTTTTCATTAACATTTTGCAGTCTTCAGTATACAAGGCTTTCACCTCCTTAGTTAGGCTTATTCCTAGGAATTTCATCCTTTTTTGGATGGAAATTATAGATGGGCTTTTTCTTTTTTCTTTTTGAGGGGTGATAGCTCATTGTCAGTGTATAGAAACAGTACTGATTTTTGTATGTTGATTTTGTATTCTGCAGCTTACTGAAATTAGGTATTAGTTCTAACAGCTTTTTGTATAGTTGTTAAGATTTTCATGTATAAGATCATATCATCTGCAAAAAGAGGTTTGTACTTCTTATCCAATTGGGGTGTGTTTTCTTTCTTTTTCTTGCCTGAATGTTCTTACTGTGATTTTCAGTATTATGTTGAGTTGAAGTAGTAAGAGCAGGCAGCCCTACCTGGTTCTGAATCTTAGAAGAAAAGCCTTTGTTTTCACCACTGAGTAAGGCAATGGAAAAAGCACAGCCTTTTCAACAAATGGTGCTAAGAAAGCATAGAACAATGAACTTGGACCCTTATCTTATACTATACACAAAACCAACTCAAAATGGATTAAAAAAAACCCATAAAACCCCAAACTCTAAAACTCCTGAAACAGACTATAGGGGAAAGTCTCATGACATTGGTCTTGACAGTGATTTCATGGATACGACATCAACAGCATGCATACTATTCAGTCTTTAAAAAGAAGGACATTCTGCAATATGCAACAACATGGTTGAAGTCAATTACAGAATGACAAATCTGGTATATGAAGTATCTAAAATAGTTAAATTCACAGAATCAAAGAGTTGAATGATGGTTGCCAGCAGGTGAGGGGAGGCAGAAATAAGGAATTACTAATCAACAGGCATGAAGTTTCAGTCAAGCAAGATGATTGAGTTCTATGAGACTTCTCTGATGGTCCAGTGGTTAAGACTCCATGCTTCCAATGTAGGGTGTGCAGGTTTGATCCCTGGTTGGGCAACTAAGATCTCATGTGCTATGCCATGCAGCGCCCCACCCCCCCAAAAAAAGTAAGTTCTAGAGGTCTGTTGTAAAAAAAAGACTTAAAAGAAACAGGTCTGTTTGGTATAAAACTAGAACATGTGCAACATCCACTCTCCAAATATCTCTTCTCTAAACATTTTACGTCTTTTTGGTCTTTACAATGTCATATAAATTCTTGTCAGCCCCTCCTATCCTCAGTGATTGGGGAAAAAACCAACTTTCACACCCATACAAGATTCCTTATTAATGAAGAAAATGTTCTGTCACCCTCACCCTTCTCTTGCGCAGAGGGGCTGTCTCTTGGCCTTTGCACTTTCCTTCAAAGACCCGATTTCCTCCCTGTTGATCATTTCCACCTCTCCAGCAAAGTGTTCTTTTACATGTGGGGATGATGTCACCCAGTTCAAGAGCATTTTAACACAGATGATGGGTCTGACTTTATACTCAGCCACTGATGCTTTGCTTATAATTAGTAGCTTTTGTTAAAAGGTTTGGCTTTCAGTAGCATTATCTCATTAGCCCTTGTAAACTCTGCTGGAGGAGGCAAGTGTAAAATGTTCCAGAGCTGGTGTTATAGAGAAGTGGGGCAAGGTCAGAGGGAGTTCACCTAGTCACATGCTGCCGTGGGGCAGAGAACAATCGGGAACAGAACCTAATGGTGTGACTTCCCTTTGGCTGCCCTCTCAGACCATGCACTTGTACAGAACACTGCCATCATTCTTCCCGAGTACCTACTGTATACTGACCTACTGTATACAGTACACAGTACACAGTATACTGTATACTGACCTGTCATGGCTTCCACAGAACTCATGACTGTGTCCTGGCTCCAAACAACAAAAGAGAGAAAGAGGATGCATTTGAAGGAAATTGACTAGATGAAGAAATCTATGCCCATATGAGTGAAGTGATTCTCCAAAGAACTGATTAGTGAAAGATTGCATGTAGGAACAGGTCTCCTGACTTTATGCCTCTGCCTCTGAGAGGGGACAACTATTTGACTTTGGGTATTAATAACATTTTCTCCTCTCTCGCTTTCTTCGTCTTTTTCCACACAACGGATTGTCACTCTGTCTCTAGGCTTCTGAAAAATTCTTTTGACAGTCTTTACCAACCTAGACAGCTTATTAAAAAGCAGAGACATTACCTTGCTAACAAAGGTCAGTCTAGGCAAAGTTATGGTTTTTCCAGTAGTCATGTATGGATGTGAGAGTTGGACTGCAAAGAAAGCTGAGCGCCAAAGAATTGAAGCTTTTGAACTGTAGTGTTGGAGAAGACTCTTGAGAGTCCCTTGGACTGAAAGGAGATCCAACCAGTCCATCCTAAAAGAAATCAGTCCTGAATATTCACTGGAAGGATGCTGAAGCTGAAACTCCAGTACTTTGGCCACCTGATGCGAAGAGCTGACTCATTTGAAAAGACCCTGATGCTGGGAAAGATTGAAGGCGGGAGAAGAAGGGGACGACAGAGGATTAGATGGTTGGATGGCATCACTAACTCAATGGACATGAGTTTGAGTATAGTCCAGGAGTTGGTGATGAACAAGGAGGCCTGGTGTGCTGCAGTCCATGGGGTCGCAGAGTCGGACAAGGCTGAGCGACTGAACTGAACTGAACCCTTAAGTTGCGCCATCTAGTGGTGTGAGAAGAAATCTCATGCCAGACACCAAATCACTGATTGCAAAGAATCTTTAGTTAGCTTTACATTTTATATAAAAAAGGACATAGGCTAATTATGAACTCAACTTCCTGTTAAACATGTATGAATTAGATAAATTTCTAATTTTATTTTTCCATATACAAGTGTACTTTTTGTGATTGTTGCTTCAAAATACAACTACAAATTTTAAGACAATATATAATAATCAGCAGCATTATAACGTGATATGCAGCAGCATATAATATTTTAAAACGTGAGTAATACAGAGCTTTTCTGAAGAAAAGCTCAAAGTAATTTCCACCTATTATCTATTTTTCTATTACAAGAACAGTGTGAAGTAAAAAGGCATCTGTCATTAGCCTCATTTTACTGACAATGTAATTAAGACTTAGATGATGTCACCACGAACACATAAAGAAGAAAAGCCAGTTTAACTGTTGATGTGAATCTAAATTGATGCATTCACTATTTTCATAGTGTATGGAGATTCCTAAAAAAACTAAAATAGAACTAGCAATTCACTCACATATTTACCTGAAGAAAATAAAAACACTAATTAGAAAAAGATATATGCACTTTTATGTTCATTGCAGCATTGTTTACAGTAGCCAAGATATGGAAGCAACTTAAGTGCCCTCAATAGATG